ATTAGGTAATGAAAAAAGTTATTAACAAAAGATTTTCAATTTTTTTTTAATTAGATAGAATAAGTTCTTGTTATATATATGAATACATACATTTTTTGAAAACTGTTTCAAATTTATCCATGATGACCTTGTCATAGTTTACTATGATGAGTAATATTGGAAGTGTTACTTTTCTATTGATTATATCTATAATATTTTCTAAATTCATCGTAACAATACCAAAAGATATACACTCCAATCTCTAATCAATACTTATTATGTCATATTGTCAAGGTATACTAATCATTTTGATTGATTTAAAATCAAGTATAATAGATGTGTTACTTTGATAGAGTACGAAAATAGCAATCTTATATTTTCTATTGAAAAAATGAGCTTAACGCATTTAACCATTTTTTTATTATTATATGAAAGAACTAATGTTACTATTAATATTCTCAAACCAAAAATAGTCGATATCTTCATGACTATAAAAATTAAAACATTCTAGCAAGTATACATAGATATATGATCATATTATTATACATACACAAACAAATTGAATCCACTTTTATTCTTAATCAGACTCCAATCAAGGGTTAGATGTAAACCACTGTGGCTAGCTATCATGGACAAAGAGTTTTCAGACTACGGGTTTATAGAATTTCTTTTCTATTTCTAGTTATTATAGTAATTTTGAAACCTTACGGATTCGTGAACTTCAAATACTTTTCTTCCGATAACAAACCCTGATACAACATAACATATTGATTTTAATTCTAATTTTAATTCTTATTATTCTTATCAAATTTATCGGATTTATTAGATATGTTAGGGCTTAATGGCGTTTATACTGATCTTATACAAATCAAAAGCGAGAGGCCAATGAAGATTATAAATAACTAGATTATTATGATTTAAAATCAATGGTTGAAGTCGTCTCATTTGAATTTATATATAGATTACTATTTTAAAAAGTCTATAATCTCTGAAAAAATTCAAAATTGATGTTTTGATAAATTATAGAAATAAAATTCTTATTTATTTTAAGGATTCTAGAATTTGTATAGTATGTGTACAGATCAAGATTTTGAATGATATAAAAAATAATTATAGAAAGTGCTAGTGAATCTATTATCATGTTTAGCTATAAAAAGCCGAAAAAAGCTTGTGAACAACAAATTCTTATAAATGAATGTCTTTGATATAATCACTTAACGATTCTTGAATTTTCGATCTTGATATATATATATAATATACAATTATACCTGCCTATATATAGAACAACAAGTAATACAACTACATTGTTTTGAACCACACTTTTTGATACATGATGGATCCGTGATTTCATCGAAAGTTTATCAATTTACTTCCTCTTCAATTTTTCAATTTTACAAATAACTTAATTCTATTCACTGTTTATCCATTTAACTATCTCGATATACTCCAGTTTGCAATTCTTACACTAAATTCATCTCCCTTCGTGCAACAGTCATCGAAATATGATACTATAAATCTTAGCTTATTAAGTTTGATTATAATTCCTGATTTTATAGATAGAAGTCTGAAACCAAAAGTAAAACTGAAAGACTCAGAACTCTGAGTATATCTATCATTTTACGAGAGAATAATAAAGTTCTTAATAACAAAATTGATTTGAGTATGAAGTAGTAATTTTATAAAGAAATCTTCTTAATATTAATATCCTAGAAAAATATTTTTAATTAAGAATCAATTATATAAAAAAAGTATCTAAATTCTCAACATTAAATTTCAACTTTTATATAAATCAAATACATCGATATCAAACATTTAATCAAAACGGTTGAAAACATATACTGGTTAATCATATAAATCAAAAGTCTTATGGATTTTGAGAGATCTAACGAAGATTACTCAGTTAAGAAATCAATCAAAATCAGATTTTGATTGAGTTTTTGAATTATCTAAAACGAAATTATTGGTTCGATTCTTTTGATTGATATCAAAATCTGACCAGCATAAAAAGAAGAAAAGTCTTACTATGAACTTACAGATTTATAGATTTCTAGATTTCTAAAATCTGAGATTTACAAGTTTAAAAACCTATCGTTTTATCAAAGATTTCCTGGAATTTTTAGAAAAATAGCACCCTCGACAGTTTTATTCACATATAAAGTCAGAAAATGCGAAATGTACAGCATTTAATATATAGTTACATTTATCATTCAAGCTCGGATTTAAATCTTAGTTGACATCTTTTTCATACATTTTGAATATTTGATTCAGGTTGATATATGAACTTTTCTTATCAAAAGCTTTCTATCCTTATGCGTTTTCAGATTTCATAATTTATTGACAAGAGCCTTCTTAAAATTTAGTATATCCAGAATCAAATAATTTAAATGAAGACGTGTATTTTAAAAGATATTCAAGAATAATGATAGAGAATTTGTGTGAATTTGTTATTACTTTTAATCTTCAAAGACATGAAAAAAGAAAAGTTTACAAGGGCTGGTTTCTATATACAAATCTGCTCTGAATATGTTAAATTATCCGCTTTTCAAGAGTGAATTATTCGATGTATTTCGAATTTATATTTGAATGTAAAACATTTGAAAACACGAATCTTGTGTAACATTTCATAAATCAATAAATCATTTTGCAGACCTTTTCAAACCTTAAATTCGATTTGCATTCTAATTTATAATGTTTTAAAAATTTACATAAGAAAATAAAAAGTGTTGACTGAAAACAACAATTAAAAAAGTAGTCTTTACTTTTATTATATCAAATAATTTGTGTTTTTTCAACTTACTATAAGTCTATTTAGTCTAAAATTCTAATAAATGTGTTTTAAAATCATAGGGTTTTGAGCTTCTCTTTAATCAGAGTTCATATTTATATGTAAGTTTTAAGTTAAATCAAAAAGATTCATTTCTACATCTATTTGTTTGATTATGCAGATTATAATGATAGGTTAAAAATTCGAATTATTTTTTTAATATATATATTTTTTTCTTTTTCATGAATTTTATAGTAAATTTGATATACAATTTATGAAGTTGTAAGTTGTTAATTTGTTCTTTTTGAAATAAATTATTATTATTATAGAATCTGTAGTAACATAAAGAGCGTAATATAAAGTGTGGATTTAGCGTGGATTTTGTAATCAAATGAGCCCTCATCCGAACTTATAGTCTGAAAATTCGGGTTTCCCAATGGCTAGTCTAGAGACATTTGATTTGAAGGTTAAACTTTTCCTTCATTTTAGTGTTTACGAAGTTTAACGAATCTTATTATAGTGACCGGACCGAGAATCCGGTATCGACGGCTCTCGCCCCTCATAGCCGACTTTCTGACTATCTCTATTGGACGGAACTCTACTTCAACAAGTCGTAACTTAGATTGAAATAATTCATCCGGTTTCTGTGGAATTGATTTAATGGTACTGGTGGGACTATTACTCAATTTCTATCAAGACACGTATCATTATCTAGGCTTATTGTTGAAGACCATCTATAAACACGAGTGCTGTCTTCGAGATCTTTGTGTATTTATCTGCGTTGTATCTATGAATTCGATGCTATATATTTCAATCTGATTGCACAAATGATTCTTCCTCTACTCCTATGTGTAGCTACAGCGGCCGCGCAGCAGGCCGTGTATGGTCAATGCGGAGGTTCGAGCTGGACGGGTGCAAAAACTTGTGCTATAGGAAGCACTTGTGTTTACCAGAACGCATACTATAGTAGTGTTTTCCCAGACTATATTGCATCACCTCGTGCTCATTGTTCTCTCTAGGCCAGTGTCTTCCGGGAGCAGTCAGCAGTACTTCAACCTCGAAAACCACAACAAGTGCTCCAATAACCTCGAAAACGTCTACAACATTAACAACAAAAGCGTCTTCAACCTCGACCTCTATTACAAAAAGTGAGATCCTGACACATGCGTGTTGTTCCAGTTATCCAACCCCTACATGAGCTTATAAATGACTTGCTTAGGCCCCATATCGACTGCAGCCGTAGAGTATTTCATAACCTTGTAAGCATTCAATCATTCATACATCCGAAATCGAACCCCACTAAATTCAATTCAGTGGCGACTCATACTCCCAAACAGGCTTTGATCCGACCCTGACCCAGCCAGCTGCTGATAATCCCCTTGGAAATCCCAATCTTCAAGGCTACACGACCACTGGCGGGTTCAATTGGGTATGTAACCCAAAAAACTTGAAAAAATATATCCGCTGATACGAACCATGTAGGTCGGGTATCTCGCTGAAACTTATAACAATACGCTTATGTTGTCATACAACTTTGCTTCGGGAGGAGCAACTACTAATGCATCGCTTGTTGCACCATTTGCAACCACCGTATTATCCTTCATTGATCAAGTAGATCAGTTTGTTCAATACATTCCATCCGGGCCCTGGTCCTCTGGCAATACGCTTTTTGGCGTCTGGATGGGTGTTAATGATGTTGGAAACGCGTGGTATCTTTCAAACTATACGACGGTACTCGGTCAGATCATGGATTCCTACTTTGCAGAGATTCAGCGACTCTACAATGTGGGAGGCCGGAATTTTCTATTTTTAACCGTTCCGCGTGAGTCCCCTTCTTCATTCAGATTGAAAGGAGAAATACCAAAAACTGATGGTACACAAAGCAACACAAGATAGCCCTCTTTTCATAGCTGAAGGGAAAGCTGTGCAAGCTTCCATAGCGACCGCCATATCTCAATACAATGCGGCTTTAGTTTCACGCGTAACAGCATTCAAAGCTGCAAATGCTGGATCTAACATTTGGGTATATGATACCCAAGTTCCTTTCTTAAAAGCAATCAACAACCCTACAGCATACGGCTCGGCCGATGCCACTTGTATCAATGCGGACGGCGTTAGCTGTTTATGGTGGAATGATTATCATCCTAGCCAGATCGTTCACAACCTAGTTGCTCAAGGGGTTGCCTCACTCCTAAAAGGCATATTCTGGTAGATGAGAAACTGAGCGCTCATAAGTTTTATTCCGTGTATATTCGATTTAAGAGACCGGTATGGCTGTCTCGTTTATATACTGACGATATCTTGGAGCACATTTCCTTCTCCAATTCTTTCCGTTGGCCACAAGAAGCACTCCACCAGATATACTAGCTAGAACGCACATTCCAAAAAAGAAAAATGCCCAGCCGTATCCTGTAGCATTGATGAAGGGCTGCACACTGTATGAAATTGCAAAATTGACCATGGAGCTGCACATTGCCAATATAACTACTAGTTCACCGGCAAGACCGGGGAAACATTCCATTGCATATGCGGTGGCGATTGTGCAGGCGCTCACTTGCTGAGCAATTAGAGCTCCCAAGCCAATCGAAACCGCGACCCAGCTTGCCTGCGTCTGAGCACCCCAGCCATAGAGCATGTACCCAACAGCCGCATATACGAAACTTGTGGTAAGGGTCCAAAGACGCATTTCAGGCTCTTTGACTCCTTTGTTGCGGCGGGCGAGGAAAACAACAATATGATCAGATAACACTCCAGTGAAGTAACCGATAGTAGATCCGATGAGAGTTGCGAAACAAATAAAACCAACGGTCGTTGATGAGAATTCATATGGATCAGAGGAAAAGATCTCTGATACAGTATTGAAGGATACTATTCCAGCTGTGCATCCAAAAGCAAAGATGAACCCCGGAATAACAGCTGTAGGAAACGACCACAGGAAGAAGGGACGTTTGAAGTAGTCCCAGTATGTGGTCGAATCTTCTGACTGGTATACCCACAGCGTGAGGATTTTGAGGTAGGTCCTTCTTGGAAACAACGAAGACGGCAATTCTGCCGGAGTGGAACCGTGCGATAGCCTCGTATTTGACATCTCCAGATCTTCCTTGCCCGTGCCAGAGGTTGTTGCTACAACAGTTCGATTTCGTTCTGTGCCTGTGGAGGAGAATAGAAAGCGCGGGAATGTTGTCTCTTCCAAGGAAAAAAACAGGAGCAAGAATAAAACGCCATCGATAATGCCCACAATGTACTGACTCCATCTCCATCCAGGGCCATCGGCGATGGAACCTCCAGAGATGAGGCCAAGGCTGTGAAACGGTGAGCTTTAGTCCTCGTCTTATTTATGATATCTACAAAACCTACATGGACCCAAGTTGTTGCCCGAACAGATAAACTGCAAGCATTCGGCCACGTTCGTGAACAAAAAACATGTTAAATATGGTTAATTGAATTACAGCCTGATACGCCGATGTACCCAAACCATTCAAGATCATGGCACCCATCCACTCTCCAGTACCTTGGAATTTACCTAGCCAAATACCGGCACACATGCAAATTAGGGTCGTAGTCAGAAACACAAACCTGTTACCAAGTCTTTTAGCTGCAGGTATCCAGAAAATATTACAGAAGCCCTGTAAATTATTTTAGAAAGAGAGCCAAATGACACTTTTGATTGCAAAACCAACCAGTAGTAAGTAGTTGAGAGCCGAACCGCCATTCATGTTAGTGAGGCTAACATTTGTATCCTTGGATATGGCCTCCCAAGCAGCTGGTGTTTCACGTCAGTGAATGTAGACCAAATGATCGAAACTTCCTTTATGTACCTCCGAGGGTGTTTTATCCGAAACTGAATGCACAAGCATACAGTCTAATCATAAGTTAGTTGAATATACTTCGGCTTACGAATCTCTAGCCAAGTAAGAAACTCACGCAACAAGGAACAATTGGTAGTATTTCTTCCATCGCGGCCAAAGCTTGATTAGTGTCAGCAAAGCAACGACAGTCCTATTTCAACACAAAATCATACCAGGGGATCTCCACTACAGGCTGTGGGCCGAGGAATCATAACAATATTGGATGAAACCCCTCCGGGGTGAGAATGAACCACTGGGTGATCAACTATATATTCAGTGAGCGATTGAAAAGGCAGTGAAATGGTGAGGTGGTTACCGTCGATAAGATATTCGGTACCTGGAACATCTTCGATTGTACCTTGAGACATATTCGGTGTAGACCTGTTTACAAAGTACATTGCTGACAAAGGAGGGCATTTTTATATATATGAACCTGTCGTCTGTCGCTTGCCGATCTTCGAATCAGCCATATCTCACGTATCCCAATAATCGATAATAGAATACAAAATGAATGGATGATCATCTAGCGTGGCTACGTAATGAAGGTCCAGGCGAGAAGCGAGCTTTATTCCGCATCTGACCTTGATGTAAAAAGTGGGGGCTTGCTTCAGAGTTCCATTAACTACCCAAGGTGGGGGTAGCTTAGATCCGCTCCCAACGTTGGCCCCAAATGATAAGAATGTGCGATTGACCCGTCTTTCGGGAACCATGATAAGAGAATTGTTCGGCTCGAGTCTGGGAATAGGAATCTAGGGACAGCTACCGCTCTGAATACCTTTCTTTATGCATATAATACACTCCTGTTTGCTCTATGTCATCCGAATCTGATCAGGAAATAGCCATCCAGATTTGGCTGGACTATATATGTTGCATCGTTCATTTCAAATGTGGAAATCAAGGATTGTTGTTCTTCGAACCGAAGAAAATTATCGATGAGTGTTTTCAATACTTTTTCAGATATGCCAGTCACAATTACCATGTATTCTCGTGTGACCAGCTCGGAGTCATTGCGTGTCTTGCCTATCAGTGTTCAGTTTGTCGGGAAGGGACTTTAAAACCAATTTCCCAATGAAAGGACTTTACCAAGTATAGTGTCTTTCATCACCCAAGACTTAAGTTTATACTAACAGGCTCAACATACTTCTCCCAGTCGCTTGTAATGCCTTGCATTGTGTTTACCAACGGAGACAAATCTCTGCGTTGCCAAACATCAACAATGACTGATCTAGTCCTCTCGAGGTTCGCAATGGTACAGGTTGACATTACTGCTAATGTACTGAGAATGAACGCTCTCCCAGACACAGATCTATTGTTAACAATGATCATGTCATCTAGTGGATTGAGTTCCACTGCTGCAACGAAAACAGGCCATGTCAGACTTGTTACAAGGCCACTGTCTAAGCATAGCGAAATGCTTTGTAGAATTTCAGGAATTCGCCTGACAACCAAAACTGTGCTGGGTGATGCGTCGTACAAAGTGCAGTGAAGATATAAGATAGCCGCCTGACGCTTCAGTTCTGCCGAGTGCAAAATTACACGATCGTCATCCTGATGCACGGTCTGGACGAGACCATCGAGTCGTTGCTCCAGAACTGCCGCTTTGTTGATGAATGACTCCTCGGAAGCACACATAGGGTCTTTGCGTTTCAGCTTGATCAGATCTGTGATTGACTCTAATATATGGAAGAGTTTTGGGGAACAGCCCATCGATATATCGATTTCGTGAGCTTTAGATGTCCAAGCGCAACTCTTGAAATTTGGTACACCGGCACATGCTGTTCGTCCCAGGACATCCTGGTATGCGAAGAAGCGTTCTGAGAATGAAAGGAGGGGCTGCCATTGGCTTTTTTCAGTGGCCAGTAGTGGAAATTGTTTTCGGATCCGGATGATATCGCGCGCGCCTCGAAGGTAGACTACCCACTGTTCATCGCATGTACTGATGATTTCATACAAGCACATGATCATACTTATAGTAATAATTTCGGGGTCTCTTGATATCTCTACGGAGTCTCCTTGGCTGAGTCTCCCTCGCAAAAAATGAAGAGTCCGCGCCTTAAGCTGCATGGCAACCGGTCCCCAGGATGCATCCGTTTTGCTCTTATGACACGCCGAAAGTGCTAAAAGAGATCGCAGGGTAGATTGCGATGCACTCAATGCAAAAGGGAGAACTATTGTCGCGAATGGTGAGTCTGTGGACTGATTGGGGGTTGCTAGCGGACACAGACGGTTTACATAATATTGGAACAGAAGAGTTGTATTTATGTCATCCTCAGGAGGAAACGATGGGATGATAGGAGATGGGGCAAAGTATCTAGGAGGGACTGCTGTAAAGGCTGTGATATACTTCGATCTAGGAGAAGTAAGAGTGGTGAGTTCGACGGCATAATCCATTAGTTCACGTTCAATGCCGGCTTGGTCGTCTTGATCACATGACAGCATCCTGTGAAAGTTCTCGACGGTTCCGTTTACAAAATGATGATGTGATATGTGCGGGATGCAGCGCTGTGTAACCATTCCAGACGAGAGATTGTCAGCAGGAGAATGATGAACATCCGAAGTCGATCTTTGGTGGTCAAGTTTCTTCCATACGCCGGATCGACCAAAGGCTGCACCTCTTCTAGCAAATTCCTCCTGCCATTTCAAGACAAGGTTGTATTTGCAATCATATCCAGCACTAGCGCATCGTTGACATTTGGGCCTTTCTTCTCCGCATTTAACTTTCCTTCTTCGGCAGGTATTGCATCCACCCAGGCTTCTGGTATGAGAGGCCTTACATTTACCCGTGTCAGGAGATTTACGTTGTGGCATGATTTACGTCGAGCATCGAGATGAAGGAGGCGGAGGAAGTGAAGGAAGTGGAGAAAAATCTTCGAAAATGTGATAAAGAGATAGCGGCTTATAAGTTTCGCCGAGCATTGGTGTAAGGTTGCAAACAATTCGTCCTTGTAGCAACGTAGATATAGGAAGCTGTTGAATCTCTGGCGGTGGTCGTCGAGCAGAGACAGGACGATTACATGTACAGTGGATCTCAATCAAAGCCAAACGATCAATTGATTAGACTATTAAGAGAATCAGGAAATATTTGATGCAGGATACTGGGTAGACACACCGGAACATATACCATTACCCAAATTATTTGTAAGATTATGTTTGTAGTGGCCGCTCAGTGGTGGGCGAGGTAGGGTGGGGTAGAGTAAAGATAGATAACCTTAGATCGAAAGTGGGTGGGAAGGTCCAAGCGAAGTGGCATGCAGTTGTCTTTATCCTACCTATCACCTCCATTCAAGATATTTTCATGAGAGTATCAATTTAGATACATAATAGTATACCAATCTCTCAATCGAAGAAAATGTGACCTGGTGAAATACTTCCTTGTTCTAATCATGCCAACCGAACTTACCAAATCATCTCAAATCCTCATTGTGGGAGGTGGGACTTGGGCTGTATCTACAGCTCTCCACCTAGCTCGTCGAGGTTATGTAGATGTTACAATACTCGATGCATATCCAATACCATCCCCAATATCCGCTGGGAATGATGTCAACAAGATTGTAGAACAAGGTGACTGCCGCAATGGGGTTTTATGAATGCATAGAAGATTCACTGACATACATAGGCTCTTTCACAGAGGGCGAAGATGATGTTTCTATGATTTTGCTTAACAAAGCGACGGAAGGCTGGTTATATGATCCAGTATTCAAACCTTACTACCATCCTACTGGGTATATCGTAGCTGCAGATACGCCGGCTGCATTGGAGCAGGTTGAAAAGCGAGAGCTGCCCGATTCAAAGTCTGGGTTTGTAAGACTAAAGACCGCGGAGGACTTCAGAAAGACGATGCCTCCCGGGGTGTTAACGGGTGACTTTCCCGGCTGGAAAGGTGTGTTCAAGTCTTCAGGCGCTGGCTGGGTACATGCCCGTAAAGCATTGGAAAGTGCAGCAAAAGAGGCTGATAGGCTTGGGGTAAATTTCATTACCGGTTCACCTGCAGGTGCTATCACTAGTCTCGTTTATGAAGAGGGAGATGTACTGGGTGTAAAGACTGCTGATGGAAAGGAACATCGGGGTGATAGGACAATACTTGCTGCTGGTGCTGGAGCTGATGCGCTTTTCGACTTCAAGGATCAGCTTCGGCCTACAGCCTGGACTCTAGGACATATCAAGATGTCGGAGGATGAGACAAAATTGTACAAGAACCTGCCAGTGCTCTTCAATATAGAGAAAGGGTTTTTCATGGAACCGGACGAGGACAAGCACGAGCTCAAGATATGTGATGAGCATCCTGGCTATTGCAACTGGGTAAGTTCATTTCTTGCCTACTCTTGTTGTGTCGAGAAAAGTCCAGAACACCAGAAAAGGAAGCTTGGAAGGGGTTTGAATTTTTGCACCTGCAGGTGAGGGTTCAAAAAAATTGATCTCTCAGATTTGAATCGGCGTTTGAAAGAGTGATGTGCATGGCGTTTTGAACAGCGTTGCACGTTAGAGATATGCAAGCTTGGCTTTCGACCTTTTCTTCTAGTCTTGAAACAGCTTCAGCTAAAATCAACACCTCCAAATTCAACATGGTAGTGAAGGCTAACGAATTATGTCTTAGATCACAGGGCCAGATGGCAAAACCAGGAGCATTCCATTTTCGAAACAACAGATCCCTATGGATTCGTCCAAGAGAATTCGGCAATTTCTGCTAGAAACCATGCCTCATCTTGCAGATCGTCCGTTATCCTTTGCTCGAATATGTTGGTGCGCTGATACCCCTGACCGGGCTTTTCTCATCGATATCCCTCCGGGATACGCTTCGCTAACTCTGGCGGTTGGCGGAAGCGGGCACGGCTTTATGCACATTACTTCAGTTGGAGGATTTGTTGCCGATTTGATGGAAGGGGTACTAGATCCAAAGCTGAAGAACGCCTTCCGATGGCGGCCTGAAACGGCAGTGAATAGGAACTGGAAGGATTTACAAGGAAGATTCGGGGGACCAAATGAAATTATGGACTTTCAGGACGTTAGAGAGTGGACGGACCTCCCTTCTAGATAGAGCGGCATATCGTAGCATATGATACACGAGAGGCACTTGGAAATATTACGGAACCGCGAGAGCGTTACTGTACTGATGTTCTTACGAAAATTTTATACACTATGAACATGTTTCCCCCTCAAATCAACGTTTGTGTAAATCATATGCCTTATTAACATCAAGAAATACTGATACTGAATCACACATTACAATATGAAGCTTTGAGATCTTAAGGGTCTTGCGTCATAATGATACCATTGAATCTATCTCGTTGGGATTTTGGCACTGGTAATTAACTCAAATTGAATTATGACAGGTTTGACATGTCCATCTAACCCCTGGTAACACTCTATGTACCTATGTATGGTGTAAATATCCTGGAGTATCCCAATAAGTATTTTCTAGTCGATTGTGTTAATCTTCTTCATAGATCTCCTGTTGCATCTGTCGTTCCCAAATTCGATTCGCTGACTTAACAATCTTTGTCGCTTTCGCAAATAGTTTGGCATGGAACTTTTCCTCATCATCGGACGCCAGCCGCAACTTTTTCGGCTGGGCCATCAGGAGTACTGGTATTAGTTCCCTCGAGTCTGCACTTGCAACCGCCCCAACTGTTTTATAGCCATTGTCCCAGAAGATCCTTGCTGTTCGACTTTTGATGAATGTGATTTCCGCTAGAGCGAGTAGGTCGGACTTCGCGCCTATTGCTTGTTAGGTGAAGCGAGTAAGAACATTTGGAAAACCAGAAATTTTTAATCTAAATTATTTACACAGTTATTGTGATAAATGAAGGACATACCGGCTTTTAGACGATCGGAGAAGTGATCAAGCACCGCAGCTAGTGCTCCCCAATCCATCTTCTCACAGAACTTTATCATTCCTGCAGCAAAGCCATGGCACGTTTGCGCCAAATTCTGTATGATTCCTCGTGGTAAGTCGTATTTCCGAGCAACAGCATGAACTGGCATCTCGTTACAAAGATCTCGTAGTTGTAAAGCAGTGTAGAATCTCTTGTATACCCTTGCGATCTCGATTTCTTCTGGCGTAGACTCTCTCATCGACCCCCCTTGCGCCCTAAGAAAAGTCAAATGTTGAGCAACAGATAAGCTTATAGCAGTGAATGAACTTACATTTTATTGATCAATGACGGCTTGAGTCCAACGAAACCAAGAACTCTCAAGTTACTTTCATCAAGCATATCAACTTCGTTACGGAAAATTTGCCAGTTGATATTGCCCTGCATAGTCTGAACAGGCGTGAAGGTGTAAAGCACATGCATTTCGCCATCTAGTACAAAGGCTTCAAGAGATCTTCGTAGTTCTTTATGGACGAACAAGCCATCCTCAGGAGCCAGAGAAGAGGCCACAACAGCTTGACCCAGGTGTGTAGCTTCGTATGAATAGTTTTTTGTCTGTTCTACGAGTTTACTTTCGAGTAAATTTTTAAGGGTTATTTCAACCATCGACTTCAACTCCTCTTGATCAATCGTATGACAGAGGAGAGTTTTTTTTACGTAGTCGTCGATCGATTCGTTACTTGTAGCTAATTTTGTAGTTATTACTTCAAGTAAGGCTCTGTCTAACTATTAATATCAATACCTAATGAAGATTTACTTGAGGGATTTTACCGTTTTATACCTCGCTTGCCTGGCACCAGGCAGCTCTCCACTGACGGTATTTCGGCTTCCATGAGCTCCGCGACGGCCTCAAGGTCAGACTTTTGACAACAGAGATATGTTTCGCCAATTTCATCCTTTCCTTTGCGTCCAGCTCTACCTCTCATCTGTCGACTGCCATGATTAGCATTTATAATTAGTTGTGACAAGCTAGGTACTCACAGCATTGAGGGACCAACTAGATCAGATCCCATTCTAGTGCCATGCAGTATAACCCGCCCTAATGAATTGTCAGTCTCCGTAGAACGTTTGGATTAACAAATGCAGATTTTCTTGAAACTATCAGAAACTTCTTGGAACCAAAAGATAACTCACGGGCGGGAAGATTGATGCCGGCCGCAAGACTGCAGGTCGCTACCATGACTTTCAATACGCCTTCATCGTAGGCAGCTGCGACCAAGTCGCGTTCCTCTGTGGTCAGACCAGCATCTGCGGGTGGGCATCAGAGGTTTCCAGAGATTAGAGGATGGAAAATACATACGATGAAAGGCCACGCCCATTAAGACTGTCTTTTCAAGCACTTGATCAAGACCGCTACTTGTGTCCCTTAGGTCATTTAAGAGATTGCGTCGTCTGTTCATCAAGAGCGGGTCAATAGCATCCATCGAAGGGAGCACTTGGCTTATCAGAAGCGCGTCCCTTTCACAACCCAGTCGACCTGTTATTCGGTAGACTTAGTATTACGATACGGTAGAGCAGACAAACGGAACAACTTACTACTGCAAAATACTAGCACACCGTAGCCACTTCTGGCGGTTTCATTGGCTAAAGCAACGACAGAGTTTATCAAGGGATTGCTCAGCTCTTTATGCCGTGAGCTCTGTATTCGTCTATGAGGACCCGGAAGTGCCTGTATCAAGTTGCCCGAGTTCTGAGAATTCAGTTGCGAAGCCGTCTTGTAGAACCTGTTCGAACTGGAAGCCGGATATATAGCATTTTCAAAGACAAGGTGCTCTTCAACAGGAACAGCCCTATAGTTGGAAATGTAAAATTTGGCATTATTGAGCCATTTAGCGAGCAAGTCTGCATTCTTTGTTTGGTCAGACAGCTCTTCCCATGAGAGAACCACAAACACAAAGGAAGTGTTAGACTTACGTCGAGTGTCGCGCTCATACTGACGATCTGTACGCCTTGTTCTAAACTAAGGAGTTTTGTAGCCATCAACTCCAATATGTATCCACGGCTTTCATCATTTATGAAATGTATCTCGTCCATGACTACAACACCAAGACTTCCAATGGAGCAGTCGTCAATGGCCGCGTTGATAAGCGAGTTTGCCTATAATTATTAGTCAATGACTGTGAGCCGAAAGTATTTGTATCGACGCACCTTCTCGATGGTGCACACAGCAATATCCATATCAGCCCATGTTGCGTTTGACTTGCTGCCACCATAGAAGCCTGTGACCCTAATGGAGTCTTCATCCCCTCGGTTTCGCCACATGGATGGCCATTTTGATTCCCGCACAGAGGTCTCTTTGCAGATCCCCTGGACAATTCTTCGGAGCCATCGAAGTTTCTCTTGAACCAATGCAACATAAGGTAATACCAATAGGGCTTTCTTCCCCGGGTTTTGTGTAATCTTTTTGAGCATGAGGACGTCTGCAACAAGTGACTTTCCGCCCCCCGTAGGAGCAGTATAGACCAAGTTGCGTTGTCCAGCAAGGGCACCACTACGAAGGAGACATTCGGATTGCCATGGGTATATAGATTTGATTCCCACGGCAGCAAAATTTTCGACTAGTTGATTTGGTAATTGATATGCAGGGTGTGATAGATCAAGCAAGGGATTCAGTGTAGGGGTTGGCGTCAAAGCCAGTTGCCTTCTTTGCGAATACTCAGAATTATTCTGAACAGTAACATTATCAATTTCACTTGCTTTTAAAGCACCGGGACGTGTATTTATGAGATTTGGGCGCTTAAAATCTCTCTGCCTAGTGAGGTCAGTTTCGGTATGGGGATGATTAGCGGAAGATGGTGTTTCCCATGATTCTTTGGAATCATTCAACTCATCAAATGCCCTTTTCACAGCAACGCGGGAAATTGTTGTAGACGCAACTCTTGTTGTATCTATGGTAGTTTTGTGATACAGGTCAGACCGTGTTGCGTTAGACTTCTTCATTTCCACGTTGGATTGAGGTCAAGTGAATCGAAGATGTTCTGCAAAAAAAACATGAAGAAAGCAATAAGCCATTAAGACGCAAACCAAAAGGAAAGATAGAAGGCGACCATTAAAATGATAGACGTGGGTAGGTAGTTGGAGAAGCGTACAGAAAAGTGAACTTTTGACGCCAGGTTGTACTGTAGCAAAATACTGGAAGTATCCATGTACCGAAAGTAGGTAGGGTACCTATGTAATTCTAGGTCCCGAAGAACTTTCTGTGACTTTTATTTGCGTGAATGGCCAAATTGATTGTGACTTGCAATTGGTACGGAGCAATGCATCCAATTGGAAGGATTAGTTATTTGTAAGCAAGCAAAAGAATGAGTCAGTCAGTGAATGATGATATAGATATATCTTTGTGAAATTTGACTTCTTCCAACCTTTGCTCTATGATACCCAGTTGGCCGGTGAGAAGGGGTTTCTTTTTGTTTTTGATGTTGATCACTGGCAACACAATGAATGGCTGGCGATGGGATGGAAGGCTCAATCAATGGATGGAGGGAGGTCCATCAATTGATGCAACCTGAATGGTGGGGAGAGTTGAAAAAACTACACGTGATTGAAGCAAGCCAGCCATCGGTGTACCGGGGCTTCCAAATCCGAGCTAGCAAGGATGTCTCTCACTACCCCCGCTTGTAAAGTGGAGACTTCAAGCATTTTGGAAGTTCGAGATCAAAAAAAGTTCGATTGATGGATGGATCTATCTAGTGGATGTTACTCTGTACATTGTTCTACCTGATGGTTCTGTGACACCAAATTGACCTAGTACGCACAGCTATGACTCGAGCAATCAATTGTTGGCATTGGAATATGGAGTCAGTATTTTAGGATGTGAGATATCGAGTGAGTGACTTTGTATGTGTCGGATTATATTGTCAAAGTCATTAATTATCTATATGTATATACTCGTATATAATACACACATCAATTATACTTTCCACCCTTTTGGTGGAATGATGTAAAATGTGTTGTGTGCATGTGTGCGTGGGTGCCCAGGTGTATATATTATATGTATATTATATGTATATTATATGTATATTATATGTATATTATATGTATATTATATTATATATATGCATACTAGGTAGGTATCTACCAGGTATCTGATTTGGATATACCTACCTACCTAGGACGTCAACGAGAATCAAGATGAGAAAAGTGATATATATCAGTCAGTATCTAGGTAATCTCAATGTTATCAATATATTCTTACCTACCTATCTACCCACCCACCCATCCCCTCCTACCTATATACATGCGATTTTGATTATCGGATTTGTGAAGCAACTCTGTTTACCTACCCACCTACCTACAGTCTGTCACATATCTATCTCGTACCATGCCAGGAATGGAATTCTTCAAGTCGCCTCCCGCCTTTTGCTCCCATACATACCCAGCGGGAGAGGGAAGAAAGGGAAGAAAGGGTTGTGAATTCTATGCAGGCACCAATTAGCGCCGCACCATATCGTTTTGTTTGCCAACAAAAAACTCCCATTTCCATTTCCATTTCCATTCCCGTTCTCATTCCCATTCCCATTGTTTTTTACCTACATACATACACATACATACACATACATACTACCTACTTACTAGCATCGCTTCATGCCTCACGCCTGTCTTCATCAACCACCAGTGATCACCATCGCCATCGCCATCGCCATCACCATCACCATTTGTTACATCGATTATTTATCATTGCTTCAGTCAATGTCCTTGGAGAGTGCTTGCTGATTACTACCACTGGATCGCTTCTCCTCCTTGAACATTGAAATCCGGAAAAAGAGTCTATGGACTAGAACTGGACTGGAATAGACTGGAATAGACTGAACTACCTACCTCTTCCAAAAGCTTACCCATATCCGTGCAACCCACCCCATCTATTCTTACCAACTTAAATATCTTCCTGGTACTTACTTATTACCTACCTAATATCTCTCTTTTCAAATATACGGCAAGGTATAGAACCACCTTTTACAACCATTACACCCAAGTCTCCTCCACCCATTTCACATTTACTTTCACCCAAAACCTCAAACATCTACCAAATCATTCATCCAAAACTTTATACTTCCTTTGAGCTCACACTTACGGAACTTTTTAATTCACTTCAACATCAACTTATCACATCCTCCGACTGCGAAGGGCAATATATTACCCATTTTAGATCATTTGGCCAGGGTTGGTGCATCTCTCCAGTTAATACAGGTATATGTTCTTGAGATCTCACAAATAGCCTCGTCTTTAGTTTTACTCATTGTCATCCTGGGGTCCTTCCGCATCCACCCTTTCTACGATACCAAAAAATTCACACCCCAACTATATTGTTCTCAATCTTTCAAATCGATTCATATCTAAGCAATTTCATAATCTCGAACGTCTCTGATGGGTCGAGACCTCGCAAAAATCGTCCGACAGCCTCGTATATAGCGCTTCTCGCACCTCGTTCTCGCGGGAAGCGCTCCAATTCACAATCTGAGATTCGATTGTCCAAGCCACGAATTTGTTCGCGACACAATCGTCATGACCAAAGAAATTAATGCTGGCACCAGCGTCGAAGGCTCATCCAAAAACCTCCCGCCTCAAGAGAGCAATGTGGTTGAGAATGTATCCGCTGCCCACGACTCGCCGGCTGTAAATGCGATGGAAATTGTGCCTGAAAGTAAGGCTTCGACTGCTGCGCCGGGGAAAGGATTGGAGAAGGAATTATTAGCTCTTCGCGATTTCGAATCTCAGCCTATGACCGCGACCAATTCAACGTCCTCCAATCGTTCGAATAAGGATGCTGGAGCCAACGGAGTCGGTGGTGCAGCTTACGGCACTCGATCGCGCAATCGAACAGGTACATCAAGGATCAATTATGCAGAGGACAAGGAGATGGACGTGGATATTGAAATTGCAGCGGCTATGAAAGAGGGGCGCAAGGCCGCTCGGGTCAACGACTCTCGCCCTTCAACATCTGCGGACAATGCGCCACCGACAACTACTGCAAAGAAGGCAACCGTTCCAGAACCAGAGCCTGTCGCAACGGCACAAAACAATAATAAGGAACCTATCCCCGGGACCTCTACGTTCTCTGCAAACCCATCTGTACCAACGACTCAGAACTCCAAGAAAAAGAAACCTCCTGCCCAAACTGCCGCAACTGCAACTGCATCTTCAGCACAAAATGTCGTACAAAATGGTTCGTCAGTACATACAAGTGCCCCCAGAGTCAGCATGGCTGTGCATGATTCTAACATGTTGAGCTTCGATAACTGTGGGGCACGTTTAAAGGACGACAAACTTATAGCAGATGATGGCACTGTTCTATCAGCCAATGGTACGCATCCTGAGGCCATGGATCTACCAGCCGTTTTTCCAATCCTGTTCAAATACTAACGCATTGTCAGATCACGTGTATCTTGTTTGTGAACCTCCCGGTGAGCCATACTATCTTGGTCGGATCATGGAATTCTTACATATCAATAATGACGTCAAGGAGCCCATTGACGCACTACGACTCAACTGGTATTATCGACCTAAAGAAATTGGAAAGAAGGTCAGCGATACGCGTCAAGTGTTCGCTTCCATGCATTCCGATATCAGTCCTCTCACAGCTTTACGTGGAAAATGCCAGATCAAGCACAAGGCCGAAGTCGAGAAGCTCGATGTTTTGAGAACGACGAAGGACAGCTTCTGGTACGATAAATTGTACGATCGTTACATCCATCGATATTACGATGTTATACCCGTTTTCCAGGTCATAAATGTACCTGTTTCAGTCAAAAAAGTCCTTGATGAAAGGTGGAAATACATTATTGTGGAGGTGGGGCGCGGCAAAGAATTTACCAGCGCCGTGAAGACTTGTAAACGTTGCTGCAGATACAGTGCAAGGTGTGTATTTCTGGATTCTTAAGTATCGAATTTAGCTAACATTTTCATAGCAACGACTCTGTTGACTGTGCGGTTTGTTTGAACACCTACCACATGAGTTGTGTAAATCCACCATTGTTGAAGAAACCCTCGCGTGGCTTTGCTTGGGCTTGTGGACCTTGCAGCAAAGCCCAAGAAAAGAAACTCGAGGCTCGTAACACCCCCAATATTACAGATGGAATCATCGACGCCGAAGACGACGAAATGAACGAAGACGAGGATGATCTGCCCGCAGCAGTAGGTGATGCACTTGATACGAACGGGAACACCTCATCAGGCTCTCAGGATGTCGAAATGTCTATTCACCCAGGTACAGCGGAACAGGTTCATCAAGCAAGCCTATGGCTCTTTCGGTACTTGGGTATACACTGCAAAGTTGAAGATGCACTGGATTATGACGATCGTATCTATCCAAGGGCCAGCTCTCGGATTGGAAATCGTCATCAAGCCAATGTTACAGCTTGGCATGGTAGACCTGTGGAGTATGTTAAGGCCGTAGAGATAAAGAAGAAATACATCAAGGGAGGAAGCAGTAGCCACAGAAAGGATGCAAAGTTATCGAAAGAAACTATAGCCGCATTAGAAGCCGACAAAATTGCTCGAGAAAAGCGTCCAATTTGGGTAATGGATGAGCCGAATGGCTACATCAATCGGGGTGAGGATGCAAGTAATGATGATCCCAAAAATACGGCGACGTTGCAGTTTAAAATTCCAGAAGTTGGGGAAGCTTCTAGCAATTCTGAACGGGGAACGGACGACAGAGTTTCATCCTTGGATGTTCCCGCGTATGAGCAACTGGTCAATGATTACATGATTCGTGCAAAAGCAATGGCGAAGCCGCTAGGCCTGCCCGAATTTTCAACGAATCTACTCGATGTAGCCCTACAATTACTCTATTCAAACAAATTTGATGTAGACAAAGCACTTGATGCACTTTCAAAAACAGAAAAGAAGACGTTTAAGGAGCCAGAGCTTAGTCCCGCCGAGCTTAAAAAATTCGAGGACGGCGTTACCAAATTTGGGTCTGAGTGGCTTAGCATTAAAAGGCATGTGAAGACAATGAGCCCTGCTGACGTGGTACGATTTTATTACACCTGGAAAAAGACGGATAGGGGAAAGCAGATATGGGGTAATTATTCAGGGCGAAAAGGCAAAAAGGAGGCCAAAAGAGCAGAAGCGGCCTTGGGAAAGTTACAGGATGACGTTGCCGATGAACACGACGATTCAGCTTTTGACAACGACAAAGTTTTACAGAAGAAGAAGGGATTTCAGTGCAAATTTTGTTCCGTAAGAAGCTCGCAGAGATGGAGACGAGCTCCCAATACCCCTGTGGGTGCTACTGTCCCTGAAAATTCAAATAGCAAAGGAGCTGCAAAGGAGAAAGGTAACCAACTTGTGTTGGCGTTATGTCAAAGATGTGCAGAACTTTGGCGCCGTTATGCGATACAGTATGAAGACGTTGATGAAGTAGCCAAAAAGATGGCGGCCTCGGGAGGACGAGCTTCTAAACGCAAAATGGATGAAGAATATCTCAGAGAACTCAAAGCTGCAAACGAAGGGTTTGGTCAAACAGATGCTCTCCCCACTACAGCACCTGTCTCGACTGCCAGCACACCTGTACCTGCACCTCTAGTGCCAGCAGCGTCAGAACCGCCTAAGAAGAAAGTCAAAACCAATCCAGATAACAAGGAAGTTTCAGATTCTGCGCTTGAGAACGGTAATATAGTAGCACCTGCACAACCAAAGAAGAAGCCAATAGTAGAAAAACCTCCTCCGCCTCCGCCTCCGCCTCCAGAAGTTCCCAAGCCGAAACTTCTTCCATGTGCTGTTTGCGCCCAGTTGGAACCATTAGGAGATCAGCACCTTTCCTGCAAAGATTGTAGAATGGCTGTGCATCGAAACTGCTATGGCGTTGTCGATACCCGAAGCCCCAGCAAATGGACCTGTGACATGTGTCAGAACGATAAAGACCCTAAAGTATCAATTGTAAGTTCATTCGAGTTCTTGATTGTATTTGTTCTTTCACTCACGATGTTAGCAATATAAATGCATGCTTTGTCCTATAGAGTTTACAGAGCATGATTTTGTGGAACCGCCCCGGATTTCTCACAAGAAGAAATCTGAAAAGGAGCGGGAGCGAGATCGCGTGGAGAGAGAAAATGCGCTGAAAGCTGCAGACTACTTTCGAAAGAAGCAGGAAGAATACAATAAGCCTGTCAATCCTCGGGAGCCATTGAAGCGCACAGCTAATAACAATTGGGTACACGTCACTTGTGCTGTATTTACGCCCGAAGTGAAGTTCGGAGACGCGAAAGCTCTAGTTCCATCTGAAGGGATTCCATCGATCCCTTCGAGTAGATATGATGAGGTTTGCAAAGCATGCAAGAAGAAAGGCGGTGCCTGTGTAAATTGCCACTTCTGTCGAGCACCAGGTAAGATTCTAGTCACATACCCTAGTTGTCATGTTGCTAATTAGCATTGCAGTGCACGTGGAATGTGCGCACCAGAATGGGTACATTCTAGGTTTCGATATCGCTCCGGTGAAGGGTTCTCGTCGCGACCAGCACAACATTGTGAACATCAATGGTGAGAATGGAGCCATGTCTGCCGCTATCTGGTGCAAAGAACATGTACCAACCAAGACTATTGTGCATCGCATGCACGACATCGTTGACGAAACGGGTCTTAATGCTTTACAACTCTATGTACAAAACTTCAAGCAGGCAGATTTGGCACTGACTGGCACAGTTCGTAAAGCGAACCTCGTCAACCAATCTACCAGAGCCGTCAGTGCTGTCAATAACCCAACACCCCAAAATCGTCGGACATCTACGGGGGCTCCTATATCGACTCCTACAACAAATAGACGTGCTTCTTTAGCATTGGTCAAAGTTGAGGATTCACCATTGAGTAATTCACTTTCGGTGCGCGACGCAGAAAGAACATGTGCCACTTGTAGTGTTGATATCAGCCCTAAATGGTGGCCGATGATTGAAAATACTGTTGCAACCAGTAGTCCTGCAGCTCCCTTGAACGCTATACTGGATCACGATCCTACCAAATCGGACAGCCCTGGACTCGCCAATGGCCATTTACCTAGTGCCCCAACAGGCGAAAGAAGTGGAGTTCATGTCGCACTCGCCGCCGCAGCCTTGGATCAAAATACCAAAAAGCCGGCCCCTTTACCTACGGAGTTTCAATGCCATCAGTGCCATTGGAAGAAAATTCGAAAGCAACCTACACCAATACCGACGCCTCCACCTATGCCTATACCCACGGTAAGCGATCGCGAGGTTTCTAGACCTCCCGCGCCCCTTTCTATACCGACTTCTACACCTATCATTGCAAGTATTCCTCCGCCCGAGCTTGAGCGCAATCATACGCCGCATCAATACCCATGGCCGCCCCAACCTCCATCGTATCCGTCCAACACCCCGTACAACAACTGGCTTCGTCAATCTCCAGTCCCAACGAATGTCGCTGCCGTACATCAAGTCAATGGCAATCATTCACCAAGGATGCCTGGAGTTGCGCTACAACTGGGAGGGCAACCTCACAATCGTCAGCCTGTGCAAGGTCTACAGCCATCCCCTCATCAGAATGGACGTTTGCCCAACGGTTATCCACCCTCTCCTCATCGACTTCCTGGACCTCCGCCCATGCATATGCAAAATGGAAGCTACGGATCATATGCTTCTAATAGACCCCCTCCTCATCATTTGACAAATGGAGGACCGCCTCCTCGTGCCCCGGAGCATCCTTTCTCGCAACACAGTGCGCCGATGCATTCTCGTCCGTATGGTGCACCACATGGACCGCCACACGGACCACAACACGGACCACAACACGGTAGTCCACAGCTCAACCGGCAACTGAATGGACTGCCTCCCCCACCCAATGGTCTTCCTCCGCCGAATGGTCTTCCTCCGTTAAATGGTGTGAGACCGAACAACAATCAGGTCAATGGGGGAGCAAGCGCGAGTCCATCACTAGCAAATTTACTCTCTTAAAGAAAGGGCAGAGTAGTCATACAAGCATGCATAGTACTTACGTCTTTTGTCACACTTCCGTTACATGTTTACATTTATCTCTTTCATGTATTGTATGATTCCAATGTTTAACTTAAGGCGTTTTATGGAGGTCACATCTTCTTTCATGAGCGTGGCGTTTGAGACAAACACAATGTAAAATAGATTATTGCACACTGACCGAGGTGGGAAATTAGAATCGGTCATGGCAACGTGAGTCGACTGATTCAACAACAGGATGGTGTTCTACAAAGGATGCCATACATATAAACAACTATATGTACATCCCTTGTATGAAGAGTTAGTTTCGTGAAAAATGTAATGTACCAAAATTTTGAATGCAATGCATTATGGATAATTTGTGACCAGGGTGTTTATGTCGCTTGCAACCATGTCATTTATATCACGCCATTCGATAAACACTCGTCATGAGGTTCTAAAGATTACATCTGAATGTTGTAAATTTTGCTATTAAAAAGTTTTAAATTATTGAATGGTGCACTTGGCAGGCAGGCCACATGGGCCTTCCTTGTCTTTAGCCCCGGTTTCTCCTGTGTCTGCTTTATGGCTTGCTTTATGGTTTGCTTGTTGGATATTTTTGGTTTCTCCATGGCTATCTGCCAAAATTGAATCTGACTTTACTTCTCCATTGTTTGTGACGGAACCCTATTAATGAAGGTTAGCAGTTTGAATCAATTGTAATCGTTGACTATTGTCTTCGGGCTCACTTACATCTAGTCACGCGAAGCTGACTTTGCTAATGGTCTTTCCAAATTCCTCGCCTTGAATGGTGGCAAGTTCTAACTCGAGTGCAGAGGGTGATCGAGATCCATCGGCGCCCTATAGAATATCAGTCCTATATCCTCACGCAGGCAGTACACCGCTACATGATCCTCTCAAACAGATTAATAAAAAAAGACTTACAGCGAAGGTTCCGGCACCCCATGGGGAACCACCTCTAACCTCTTCCAAATTTGCGAGTTGTGGGAACGACTTTGCATAACCCAATGGAACATAAATGATACCGTGATGAGCTAATGTTGAGAGAGAAGCAAGAACAGTGCTTTCTTGTCCACCACCTGGAGTGCCGGTGGAAACAAAAATTCCGGCGAATTTTCCCCAGTAGCCTCCGGTTTGCCATTGGCTGCCGGTAGCGTCCCAGAAGGCCTTCCATTGAGCGGGGAAGTTGCCATATCTGGTTGGGATACCGAAGAGAAATGCGTCCTGGGCTGTGTCAGCTGGGTGGGTATGGGGTGTAGGGATAGGAGGAGATTCAAAGCTTGGGGTGAGTGTGGTTTGTGGGGTTAACAGTGGAATGGTAAGACTTACATAATCTGCAAGAGTCTTTGGGTCGATGACTGGAATGTCGGATTTTGCAGGAGCGTGCATCTTAGCCAAGACCTCTTGAGGAAGAGTCTCTGGAACTCTATTTGGTGAATTATTAGTATTGAGGGAGTTTGATTTCCTTCAAACATGATAGTTGGAAACTTACTGGAAGAGATCGGCTTCAATTCCGGCTTTCTTGAGACCTGCTTGTTCGGCCTCGGCAAGCTTTTGGATGTGGCCATACATGGAGTACTGTGGGAGACATGGTGGTTAGTATCATGGCATTTGCTTGGGTGGAATGGATTTGAAATATTATAAAAGACGGGTTCATGTGGAATGTAGTGTGTGAATATTCTATACGTATGGGTTCGTTCCATGCAATAATTGGAATGATATAGAGAAGTACTTACGAAAACGATAGCTACTTTAGGAGCCATGATGAGAGTTTTGATAGAGAATTAATTGGGAAAAGGAAGATTGATATGAAGAGTATGAGTATGGTATGAGAGAGACTTGGACAGAGAGAAGATTGAAGATTGAATGATGAGGAATAGAGAAAAGAATTGGATAGATGGGAATGTCTCTCCCTTCTTATATGCATTCATACATCACTCGATTCATTCATTCATTCATTCATCATCAATATTGACTTTCGGTTGGGGTAAAGTCAAAGAAGCAATGGAGGGGTTAGAGATACCTACCAAGTATCTAGATACTCGTACTTCTGATGCATTACTAGGGTTCCATGAGGGAAATGCACCTCGGAAGATATTGAGATTTCCCAAAACGCATTAGTGAGTTGATTACAGATGCTTTAATAAGTGGTTGGTTAATCACCACTTGGCATATTGAAGCACGCAAGGAGAATTTAGATTTAGATTTAGATTGGTTGTCGATTATGAAAACATTACCATAGCTTTAAGTAAGCAATTGGTAAAAGGTTAACTTACCAGATCCTCGAGTATATTACCGATGGATGATAAAGGTTCTTTCTCTCTTTACAAATACCTCATTACCAGGGTAGGGAGGGTAGTATTTTAAGTATTCAATATTTGATGTCTATGTGTTTTGTGTTTTGTGTTTTGTGATAATATACGTAACGTTATATTTTTTGTCTTTCTAAAAAAAAAAATACGTAGAATTATTATTTACATGTAATTTAGAGATAATCGTAACGCAACCGGGAAATCACGTAAATAGATAATGTTTACTATGTATATAAAGCAAATTCATACTTCTCTTTCGACTTTCCCTTTACGTATCCAAGTACTTGAATCCATCCTTCTGATTAATCACAATTACTGAGTTTTTCCCCGTTTGCATCTGCCAGCAAAACTGTCCAAGGCTTAAGTAATCCCGCTGCATTGACCCCCTCACGTCTATCACCTTCATCACGCTTTCTCAATTTGGTTAACGTAATCTTACTTACCAACCTACATGTCAATTGGAATGTCGAATTTTCGAAAATCGCCCAATGCACATATCATTCTTTAATGCGAGGAACTTTCGCAGATACAATGCTATTATTCCCTTCCCTTCCTTAAGTACTAGAAGATGCATTGCCAATTTTTCGTCTCGTTTTATTCTGTCATCATCTGCTCGCAATCATGTCATTTATTTCAGGCCTCAACTTTTTCATCGGGGAAAGAAAACGAAATCTACTTTTAATTTCAATGATCTCCCACATGGTCTAGATTTGAGGCCCCTGGAATCTTTGAATTTGGAGCAATCACTTATTAAGGATAAATCTCCAGAGAGAGTTTCCTTGGAATTTTTTGAAGATGTTCAAGATTTACTTCAAGAGCCAGAGCCAGAGCCAGCCACAACTGAATCTGAAGAACGGGAAATTCCCGCAACTTCAGATGATGTTGAAGACGACACAGAGAAAGTAAAACCATCAAGAAGAACCAGGCGTATAGAGGGTTTGCCCCAAGGTTTGATCGTTCTTGACTCCGAATCCTCAGAGATACAAGAATCACAAGTTACTCCATCTTCGTCAACAAGCGAGAAAATTTCTAAAAAAGCCAAAGCATCAGGTGAATTAGAACTTCCCCAAGGATTACTTCCTCTGGAGCCATTGGAGATTGAGAATGAACCACCACCATATCCAACCGTGATCATGCAGGCCCGTAACAATATGCTCAAGTTTGAGAACTGCGTGGTTATCACACGCGTTGGAGGTTTCTATGAATTATATTTTGAGCATGCAGATGAATTTGGTCCGCTTCTGGGTCTTAAGGTTTCCCAGAAGAAAACAAATGCTGGGCCTGTGTCACTGGTAAGTCTTCGTCATGATATCATCCTATTATGTAATAACGGTAGATAGGCTGGGTTTCCTTTTCATCAACTCGATCGTTATTTGAAGATACTTGTTCAAGATTTGAATCGATATGTTGCTATATCGGAAGAATTCCCAAATGATATGTCGGACAAGGTAAAATCTGGAGGGCTGATGCATGATCGAAGAGTCTCACGTGTTGTTACACCTGGCACTCTCATCGATGAAGGTTTCATGGACCCTCTCTCGAACAACTATGTACTTGCAATACACATACAGCACGGCAACACCACTGATACTATTGAATATGAGAGGCATCATAAATCAATCGGTTTGGCTTGGCTGGATCTATCAACTGGCCATTTCTTCACCCAAAAATCATCGCTTTCACAACTTCCTTCCTTCCTGGCCCGTATAGCTCCACGCGAAATTGTATTGAATGAAGAGATGCAATCTATGAAAAGCCACGAAATATTTGCCATTCTCACCGACGAACAACATATGATTACTTATGCAACGCTTTCACGAGTGAAGCCTATATCCGAGTGGACCCCCATGCTAGAATCGGCAGTTTCACCATCCTCGGTAGATACCTTCACGGAGGAAGAGATATCGGCTGGCAGTTGCTTACTTCATTATGTTGAAACAAGGTTACAAAGTACGAACATGAAACTTCAACCTCCTGTACGTCAATTGAATGTTATGGGAATCGATAAGAATACTATGAGAGCTCTAGAGATCAAGAAGACCATCAAGGAAGACGTCTTCAGTGGTAGTCTGTTGCACACAATCCGACGTACAGTTACAAAAGGAGGTGCAAGACTGTTGGAGAACTGGCTTGGTAAGTTTTGTTTCTCTTAATAATTTGGGTGATTGTCAGAGGCTGACGTGAATAGCATCACCTTCAACATCTCTGGATGTGATAAACTCTCGGCTCGATCTCGTGACATACATGCTTGAGAATGAGAATCTTCGAGACCAAGTGACCACTCTCCTGAAACGTAGCCATGATTCCCATCGTCTGCTGCAAAAGTTTGCGTTTGGCAGAGGAGATGGCGATGATCTTTTAGATTTAGCTACTACGATACATGCTACTCGAGATTTGACATTCGCACTCGAAGGTCATAATGCGATGCCCAAGCCTTGCATACAAGAATTGCTTAATCGTATTCACCTCAAAGACCCAATGGAACTCGCTCAAGCAATCACAGAAGCCATCGACGAAGAAGGTCTAGTTCAGCAGCATCGCATTAAAGAAGGTGAGAGTGGAGAGATGCAAGCATTGGCCGAAGCAATTGTCGCCTCGGAAGGAACCACAGAAGAAACATCCATCCTTCGGAAGAGCAGTCGCAAGAAATCTACCAGCCTTCGCGAATATTATAACCAAGGGAGTGAAGCCTGGATCATGAAACCAAGCGCCACGCCAACCCTCAAACGTCTCCACACAGAACTATCTTCTCTAGCAAATCAAAAGACCGCCCTGGCAGCTTCCCTCTGCGACCGTCTCGGCGCAACAAGTCTCACCCTTCGCTTTACCCCCGGCCTCGGTCACATCTGCCACGTTAAAGGAAGAGATATAACTCTGGACATGCCCGAAGCCCGCACCATCAGCTCAAGCAAAAGTACCCGTTCTCTTCACCATCCCGAATGGTCACTCCTGGGCCAAGAAATCGATCAATGTCGCATCCACGTTCGAGCCGAAGAACAGCGATTGTTTTACAAGCTTCGCGAACTGGCTATTACCAATCTCGTGAAACTTCGTCGTAACGCAGCTGTACTGGACGAAATTGATATCACGTGTTCATTTGCTTCATTGGCGAATGGAAGAGGTTGGACTCGTCCTATCCTCAATACAAGTTCTGCGCACAAAATTATTGGCGGGAGACATCCTACCGTCGAGACTGGTTTAGAGGAAGAAGGTCGAAGTTTTATTTCCAATGATTGTCTGGTGGGAGACGTTCATAAAGCATGGCTACTCACAGGACCAAATATGGCTGGCAAGAGTACTTTTCTGCGTCAAAATGCATTGCTTACGGTTCTTGCACAAGTCGGATCATATGTACCTGCTGAATATGCAGAGTTGGGGATTGTAGATCATATATTCAGTCGTGTTGGGTCTGCAGATAATCTCTACCGAGATCAATCGACATTCATGGTGGAGATGTTGGAGAGTGCGACGATCCTTAAAAATGCGACTTCACGATCATTCGTCATCATGGATGAAATTGGTAGAGGAACAACACCAACTGACGGTGTGGCCGTGGCCTTTGCATGTTTGCACCATCTTTATCATGTGAATAAATGTAGGGCATTGTTCGCGACACATTTCCATGCATTGGTGGACTTAATAGAAAAGAACAATATGGACGCAGTGGGCTTTTATTGTACGGATGTGGAAGAAGATGGAAACACAGATGGAGCATTTAGGTATATGTATAGATTGAAGGAGGGTATCAACAGACAGAGTCACGCTCTCAAGGTTGCTAAATTGGCTGGATTGCCGAGGGAAGCTATTGAGGTTGCTAGGCAGGTATTGGAAAAAGGTGCAAGTCCTAAATAGATAGTCAGTAATTGATCACGAATATGAGTGTTTGTATGGCATAATGATAAATATTGAAAGCATTCAGGAAAAAATTAGAGTGTTGTTGTTTTTAATCTTCAATGTGCGCATGCACTCGGGGTTAAAAAGCTATGATTTATTCATCACAAAGCTTGAGAAAATTATGGGGTATGTGAAGAAAAAACGACGAACCTTTTGGAGTTGATAGATTTGTGATTTTCACATCACATTTCATTTTCATACCACGATACGCATGCTTGGGCTTGTTAAGTTTTTTCAATTTTCCAGAGTCAAGATACTTGGATGACAACTAGATAATCTTGATGTTCCTATATATCCTCTCAGACATACAGAGAATTCATTTCAGATATATCATTGGCCAATTTAGTCGAACATTCCTCCGAATCCCTCATCAGCGGAATCCTCAGCCTCGGACTCCTCCTTCTTGGCCTCCTCAGCAGCAGCAGCAGCTGGGGCAGCCTCAGTAGCGACAGGTCCGGCACTGGCGTAGGCCTCTGGGTTGGCAATTCGGTCCTTCAACTCATCAATCTCAGACCAGCTGTAGTCGGTTGAGATGGCAACAGCCAAAACCTTCTTGTAGCTGTTAACAACAGAGTGCATAACAGATGGAAGGGTTGGGAAGTTGGCAGCCAAGGAGATAGCAGCGATTGTGGTGATAGCACTGCTGAAAGCCTTAAGAAGTTGGGACTCCTCGATGTCGAGAACACTTGGTGGGAAAGTGTTACCAGCATCGTAAACTTGGGAGATACCCATACCGTATGTGAACGGAGAGATGTTCAACATGTTAAGAAGGGTAGCCTCGGAAGCTCCGACCTTGGAACCAGCCTCAACGAGCTTCAAGTCTGCGGTAATTTCAATGGTACCACGGGCAATCTTGGTTGGGACACCGAGAGCTTGGAAGAAAGAGGTCTTTCCTGGTTCCATACCGGTGTTACCGGCTGGGACGTAGACATCAGCTGGGGCAACGGCACCAGCTCTGGCTGGAGCAGCGACCTTGTTGTCGAGAATTTTGTCACGGATGGTCTTGAGGTCTTGGTTGGTGAAAACGAAACCGACGTTACCCTTGACGAAAGGAAGGAGACGCTCGTATTCTGGGTTGTCACCGACGAAGCCCTTGACGGCACGGCGGACCTATTCAATCACAAAAATTAGCTTTCCGAGCGCGCCAACATAGCAGAATCCATCGATCTCGAGTAAACGTACCATGGTGTTCTTTCCCATCAAGACAACACCCTCACCACGGAGAGATCCACGGATCTCGTGCATTTGTTGAGAGCTGACATTGTCGACGGTGACGATGAAGATGGACTTGTACTCCTCGAGTAAACCCTTGAGCTTATCGAAGTAGCCGGCCTTGTTTTCGGATTTGCCCCCCATATCTTCTTATTTGTGAAGTTAGGTGATTTAAGGACAAATTTATTATGTTGGAATTGAGGATTTGTTCTTCGTGGAAGAATTGTGATTGTCGCGAAGTAAATTAAGATTAGAAAAAAGTTCCATTTGATGAGTTTGACGAATTGCTAGAATGTGGGAGCCGCTAGTGCTTAGCGCAACCTGGCATGCGAAGAAATATTTTGATTGGTTCAGACGCTCAGACCCTTGTTGATAAATAAATTCGAGATATCTGGATAAATGTTTTATATTTTTTGGTGTATTTATTGGTATTTCAATATACGAATAGCCACTCCAAGGAAATAACTGTATTCCCGTTTAGAATCTATTTACTTGATCGGGAGGCCAAGTCAGTCTATCAAAAAAGATGTCGAAACTCAGAACACCATACCAATGCCTCAAACAATGTGGTAACTATCTTGTAGCAGCTCGAGGCTCAAGCATAGATACCTTTGACATTAAAGATGGTTCATACCTTTCAACATGGAAGTCTCCAGTGCCAGAAAGTACAAATGCATTGAAGACAACTGGAGAAGAGACGCAAACCAAAAGTGAGGAGCAGAACCCAGAAACTTCTACTCAAGATGCCCCATTGGAATCGCAAACCCCGCCAGCAAAGAGACGAAAGTTATCCGTTGGCGAGGAAAAGGAGGAGAAGGAGGAGAAGATTGTTGTCGTACAGCAATTGAAGAAAAAGGCGAAGATTACACCACCTAAGATTGTTGAACCTTCACCCATTACTGCTTTGACCATCACAAAAGACCTCCAGCACGTGGTTGCAGTTACCGGCGAGGACAAAACTATTAGAGTATTGGCATGGGAGGATAAAGTAGGCAAAGAATTAAAACAGATTAGTGATCGGTAGGGACTTTTTGCTCTCAATAAATGACTCTGACTGACAAATTTAGTACTATGCCTAAACGGCCCTGTGCTCTTGCCACTACCGATGACTGCAGTACCATAATCAGCGCTGATAAATTTGGAGATGTGTATTCTCTTCCTCTCATCCCATCTCCTTCAGTTCCATCCGCTAAAGAAGATGTTTCTACCGAGAAGCAAGCTCCAAAGAAGTTCCAGCCTTCAGCCAGTGCCTTGACAGTGCATTCCGTACGCAACTTAAAAGCTCTTGAGGCTCAAAAGAAACAGACCAACAAAGTGTCTGAGAAAACTGGTCCAGATTTTGAGCACAAACTTTTACTTGGACATGTTTCCATGTTGACGGATATCGTGACGGCGTCTGTGACAGGCCGTCACTACATTCTTACAGCTGATCGTGATGAGCATATTCGTGTTAGTCGCGGAATTCCTCAATCGCACGTCATTGAGGGATTCTGTCTCGGACACGTTGAATATGTTAGCCGTTTATGTATCCCTTCTACAAGACCAGAAATTCTTATTTCTGGTGGTGGAGATGACGACCTACACATTTGGAACTGGCTCGACGGATCCCTACTATCGAAAATGAATCTCAAGTATCAGATTGAAGCATTTGGCCCAGAAGCCACCAAAGACGAAGCCGAGACCGAGTCTAAGAAGGTTGCAGTAACGGGTATCTATCACGCTAGAGATGAAACATCTGATCGAGATATCGTGGTAGCTACATCTGAAGGGCAAGTTCTATTAACCTACGCACCAAGTGCCCAAATTGAACTCAAGCTAACAAAGTCTCAGTGTTCCTGCCGCCTTCGTCTATACTCTCACGCCTTCCAACCAACTCATACATACCCAAACCATCACCTTACCAGGAAATGCGCTCTCTTGCACCCTCAGAAATCCTACCCCGTCATCTCCATTCTCCCTCATAATCTCCATCGACAACATCCACGAATCAGGCTCCATCACCGTAGTAAAGGACGATAATTCAACCGTCGCAAACCCTCTACAATTCTTCAAATACGAAAATGAGAAATTCGCTAATGTGCAATTGGAAGGATTTGTATCGCAAGATAGTGAGGGTGTTTTGGATGCGGAGAAGAAGAACAAACTGGGTGGTCTCTTGTATAATATTGGAAATTTGAGAAAAATGGAGGATGAGGAATGAATTCACGCATGTTTGTTAGCTAGCTAGCTGATCAATTGAATGGAAAAATACCCAAGCCATATCTTCACATCATACACAATCAGGCCAAAGACAATAACAATAATCTGCCACCCTCCCACTGACATCAAAATCCATATTCCATAGATTCACTTCCCTCCTCCCCACAAAAACACAGAACTTTTGTCCAAAAACAAAGTCAAGTCACCATCACTCGTGAGATTCACTCCTCCCCTCCCCACAAAAACCTCAATTCATCCAACAACCAAAAAGGCAAAAAACCATGTTGAACATGGGAAAATCCTCTCTGATATGAGGATTTTATTACTAGCAGAACCCTTCGAAATGGGGTCAATTCTGTCCGTAATCTATCAAACATCCCACCCATCCGGAGATGGTTAAAACGCGGTGTATATAAGTCAGTAGTGTAGACCACTGCGCCAGGTCGTACGATGAGATGTTTGATGAGGGAAGTTGGAGATCAGGATATTTGTATGATGGGTAGATTGGTGAATGGTGAATGGATGGATGAAAGTATAGTGTGATGTTTCCATGGCATGATATGTAGTTTTGGTTGGGGTGAGTTGGATGCTGGGGATTGGGTACGACGGTTAGATGTGGCATTCAAGGAGCGACAAGGTTTAGATTATTGTTAATAATCGGAATGGGGAATGATATTGGCATATGCCATTTCGGTATGGTATTAAGATGTTGGGTAGTTTGATGTGAACTCTTGATTATCTACAAAATGGTTTAGGACGTCTACAGACTCCGGAGTATAACTCTATTGAATTGACAAAGCCTTAAATACTACTCAACATAGCCTTCTTTCTTTTTCTCAAGTCTGATTTTTAGTTTTTGCCTCCATTTAGCCACCGCCTTTCTTACTGCGTCCGCAATCTCTGGGCCTTCTGCCTCTTCAATAACGTCCAGAACCCATCTCACTCTTTCTGTTCGACCCCACTTTTCATCTCTTACATCCGCAATGATGCCCACCTGTGTAATCGCCCTTGAGATTTCCGACGTCGGTTTAACCTTATGCGCACGAAGATAGTGCCAACATTGTGTAACATTACGAAGAGCTTGCCTGGGATGCTCGACATTTTGTTGTGCAAACGCTGTTGCCATTTCGTGTATAAGTTCAATTCGTGCTTGTGAAAGGATCTCTGGTGATGGGGCTTTTCTTTTCCACTTTGGCATTGCTGCGTAGATTGGAGCATCCAATGCGGCCCAGATTCCCTCGCTTCCGTGATATACCATTGTAGCAAACAAAGACGCACACTTCTCGGGCTCGATCTCGCCTATGCAATGTTGCATGTATATATTATACGCAGCTTCGAGATCTACGAAAGTCGTTGTGTTGACGAGATCTGCTAGAACATTGGAACTTATCCGCAAGTTGAACATTTTTGATTGCCTTAGCACTGCGTGTATATGGCCGAACGCTTGTATATCTCGGAGAAAACTAAATAGATCTTGTATCTTCTCGTCGCTCAACTGTCCATACTCTTTTAAAGTCCACAAAAGCCACCCAAAGGATGAGGAAGAATGAAGGGTCTTGATCTTGAAGGTGTCGATGATTACGCTGCCGTTTGTTAAAGCGCCCTGACTTACCCAACGGGTCAGAACAAGCTCAGACATCTGGCGCCATGTCAAAGTATATTCCTTGGTGCTCAGATTGAACGGGCTAAGATCTTGTTGCTGCAATGTTTTGAATGTTTCTGTGAACATGGAATCATCGATGTTTTTCAATCTGGAAAGCACAGAAAGCCAATTTAATCGTGTCCTGTGGGATTGAGCTAGGTAGTGTTTGAGCCCTGAAACACTCTTCTGGTCCCAGAAAGTTGCGGAACAGATAACGCCCGAATGAGATCTGATCAGAACAGAAGTTATTTCTTTAGGTAAATTGGTTAGAGTTCGGCTCATTACATCAATGGAGTGACTGTGAGGCAAAAACATGTTTTCCGCAGCCCACAATTCTGTGCTGGCAGTGGAAAGATTTGTAGATGCTTGAATTAGAATTTCTCGAACGCGTTTCAACAATTCAGGAGTTTCCTCGCCTCGATTCGACCACATTAGCATTCGGAGCCGATTAATACTTCGTTGTGAGGATATTAGAGATGTCTCTGATTTCGTCAAGAGTTTATGTCTGCTTGTTGGAGCAGTCATTTTTTGGAGCCAGCTTAATGACCACTTATTGAATATAGACAAAATATTGTCTACATTACTACCCAATTGAGCTGCAGATAATGAAGGAAGTATTTCAGAAACCAGAAGTTGTGTTTCGTTGGTGCTTGGGAGATCTGCAATCAACGACAGATATTCTGCTATGACTTTCGAATCAAAATCGGCGGGCGTGAGAACTTTACAAGACACAATGCCACCCCAGACTTGTCTATAGAAAGCAAGCAGTTTTTTAGCTGCTCCAGCATCTCCTCCACGAAAAGAATCTTCCGCCTTGGGATTTTGTCTGCTAGATCCTCTAGCGTTGGAGTAAGAAGGGCTATGAATATCCACGAGAAAATTTGTAACAGTTCGAAGTGAGTTAGACAGCAGATCGCTATTAACTAGTCCAAGAGCAAGACTCTGTTGCAGTCTTTTCCCAAAAGATACGCAACGCTTTAAAGCTTTCTTCGGTCCGACCAACTGTTGATGCCAACCCTTCTCCTTTTCCGTATTCCAATCCCCTTTCAACTCGATAGATTCTCGATGATTGACCTCTATTGCCATTTTAAAATCATGAAAATGGTCTTGGATATGCCTTTCCTGTCGTAAGATATCATAGCCTTTCTCACTCGAGTCTTCCACAATTACAGACTCCATAGAAGCGTTCGCAGGTTCTTCGGGCATGGGGGTCCAATTGGTCAACCAAGATGGTAAAGCTGGCGGATGCTTTGATTGTTCCGTGATTCGAGGTGTTGGAGCCTCCCATTGCGATTCAATCTTCTCTGGCCCCCATGATGAGCACCACAAAGCCCCCGGATCGTACATTGAAGCTTGTGTCATCTCTGTGACATATGCCATTCTTCTCCTCCCCAATCTCCTCCTGCTTTCCAGCGGGCCAGGCACCGAGCTCCCATGTCGACGTATTGTATTCGAGGCACCGCAGAAGCGTTGGAATGCATTGCAAAGATCCTCCTCAGAGACCCATACACATTCAAAGGATGTTGTGAGATGTTTGAGCCTTCGACAGGAAGTCGATGGGCGAGGGAGCATCGCTCGTTGAAAAATATGCCAGCCGCGTTAATGCTTTGCGATTCGACATTGGTGAGGTATTGAATTCAGGTCTTTTTGGAGCAGAATGGCATGCTCTATATTCTTCATGCGCAAGATATCGTACAGCGAGAATGACTTCAGCGGAAGCTTTATCACTGGAGAGTTTGCGTATCATTAATTCGTACATAGCGAATAATAATTGAAATGTAACGGATCAACAGTTTTTCCAGAGCTCCCTCGTCCCTCTTAATTTTGTGGATCTTGAAGCTCACGTTTGGTGGGGTGAAAATGAAACCCCGAAGGGACCATGGGAATTAGGCAATGGTAATAGTAAGAAAATAAATAGACCAAGGTTCATATAAACCTTATACTTGGAATGAGATTTCCTCCTAACTTCTCATCGGATTTATTGTCAACCTTATTGTCTGACGCAATCTCAGACGTTTATATCTCGCACATTTGTGGTGTTTTTCCAGCAAAAGAGTCCCCTCATTTGGTTTGAGATACAAATTAGTACACTATGGAGCATCAATTTGAACCATTGCAGAATGATCTCATCCTTAGAACAGCATGGGGTAAATACAATGATTCCTAAATCTTCAGAATGCTGAGTGCTAACGAAGTCCAGGTCAGAAGGTTGAACGTCCACCAATGTGGGTGATGCGTCAAGGTATGGCCAATGTTTAAAGTCAATGAAATTGATGAGATAGAGATAGCTAACATCTGGAAATCTCACAGCTGGACGTTACCTGCCTGAATACCACGAAGCAAAAGGAAAGAATGACTTCTTTGAATGCTGCCGCTCTCCGGAGATCGCATCGACATTAACTCTCCAACCCATTGAACGTTTCGCCGGACTTGTCGACGCAGCCATTATATTTTCCGATATTCTCGTGATTCCTCAAGCTATGGGGATGACCGTAGAGATGGTTGACAAGAAAGGACCTCATTTTCCCGAACCTCTGGAGTCACCTGAGGACGGCCAATACGAGCGAGTTTTGAACAAGAAGGTAGATGTCGCGGCAGAATTGGACTATGTTTACAAGGCAATCACTTTAACCAGACATAAGTTAAAGGGAAGAGTACCATTATTTGGATTTTGTGGTGCTCCATGGACCCTGTTATGTTACATGGTGGAAGGTGGCGGAAGCAAGTTGTTTGTGAAGACCAAGACTTGGGTTTACAGGTATCCAGAAGCAAGCAAGGCTCTTCTTCAGAAGATCGCAGAAGTGTGTGTAGAGTATTTGGCTTTGCAAGTAAAGGCTGGCGCACAGGTAAGTTCATGAGCTGCTTACGACTGTACTTGGTCGGAATTAATGGTTATATCAGTTGATTCAAGTTTTCGACTCGTGGGCTGCGGAATTATCCCCATCTTCTTTCAAGGAGTTCTCACGACCATATCTTGCCTATATATCGGAAAATCTACCAAAACGCTTAAAGGAGCTCGGTCTCGAGCAAGTCCCAATGGTTGCGTTTGCAAAGGGAGCTTGGTATGCCTTAGATTCTTTGTGTGATTTAGGATACCAGGTAGTAGGCTTGGACTGGTTACAAGACCCCGCGGAGGCCGTTCGGATACGAGGAGACCGCCCAGTTGTCTTCCAAGGCAATGCAGACCCAGGAGTTCTATATGGAACTCGCTCCGAAATCACTCGGGTAGTCGAGGAAATGGTAAATGGTTTCGGTGGAGGAAAACAAGGATGGATTGCAAATCTCGGTCATGGTTGGTATTTCCTATTCGACTGCTTTTTCTCAACTAATCCATTTTCTTCTCACAGGTATCACGCCATTCGTCAACCCCGAGGATTTGAAATTCTATTTCCAAGAGATTCACCGATTGACCAAGTGATGCCAAAAATCATTAAGCGTATCGATCATTCCTTGGTGTGAACCCTCTTCTCGACACCAATATCTTCGTTCCTGTGGGAAGTATTGAGTCAAAGATAGTCCTTTGGGATTAGAATGTATAACATACCACAATTCTGGCTTCTCGCTGATGAACTTCTCCATCAATTCCTGGCACTCTTTGCTCTGCATGTTGACAACTTCAATTCCTCTTTGCTTCAAATATGCTTCACCGCCGAGGAAAGTATTGTTCTCACCCACGACGACTCGTGATATTCCGTACAAAATACATGCTCCCGTACTTTCCATCGTGATTAGCATATTCCAGGTCATTCATATGAATATCAAACATACCACATATCACATGGAGACAATCTACCCGTAATTTGTTAGTTTTGTCTTCTTAAATATGGGAATCTGTTTGATGGCGAGGTTTTCTCTTGACATACGTTGTGTACATGGTGGATCCCTTATAAGCTGAGGCAGGGAGGCGACCTGAATTCTCTAAAGCGGATGTCTCTCCCTAAGTTGCATCAGCACTTCCTCATTCGCAAGCAACAAAACAATACCAAGTCTTACATGATGAATAGCACTCCCTTTCTGGACTCTCATATTATGGCCACGGCCCAACAGCTTCCCATCTCTTGAGACTAAAGCTGCACCAATCTGACAATGATGGCATCTTGATTAGAAATGGGCAGAGATTTGTGGTAGAAATGATTTTGGAGATTCGTACAGGTACACCACCTTCTTCATATCCAATCTTGGCTTCTTCAACTGCAATTGCAAAGGCTTCTTGATCGCTCAAGGAAGTCATGACTAAATGTAATAAGTGCCAGGTGGTTTTTGATGCGGTTTGATGGGGGTGAAAGGAAGAATGAGGGGTAGTAGACAAAAGTCAAATCTCTGATTCTAGATATATATATACTAGGTACGTATTTTACTGTACAAGATGAGCAATGGAATGCTCAAGGATGTTTCTCTGACAAATTCGACTTATTTTATTCACGAAATTGTGAATTCCATACCTCAGCGGTACATCTTCTATGCCTAGGTAGGCATTCTGTACATAACTGTGCCTCGAGTGTGCCTACTCTACCTACCTGGGATCTGTTCCGATGCCAAAAAGTGGAAGAATTATCAACAGCTTATCGATAAGAAACCCACCTTTGAAGTTTGAGCCAGCCATTACAGTGTTAGTCTCAATATAGTCTAGCTTAGCCTTGTATCGGAATAAGCAAAGGGAAGGATGGTGTGGAAAGAAATGAATACAGACACAGACACAGACAGACAGGTGAGACAAGAATTGGGAAGCTGAAGACTGAAAGCATCCATTGATTACATGTACTACTGGGTATTCATTGTGAAATGATATGTATATATCTAAACACCTAGCTAGTATCGATGAATGAGAATACCCTTTATTTATAACAATTTACACCTATATATAGCTACCTACCTACTTTAAGTATATAAATTAAATGAATATTTATACATCTATATAAAATTCAACCTGAGGGTCCTCGGAGGGGCAGATTTTCCTGATTTCCCCCCAAAGAATACATTCCCAATCCTTGTCCATTTTCGAGACCCTTCTTTCAGATTCTAAAATATTTTGCCCGCCGCTTCTTCCTGCTTCTGTCTTCTGTCTTCCCTTCCTCCTTATTACTAAATAAATGTCAGGCAAGGCGAAACTACTAGGTAATAATAAGAATAAGAATAAGAATCTCATTCACATCTGGCTGGGTACACACTACCATACCTACTACTTATTTATTTATTTAGTCCATTCAGAAAAATCTTACTTACTTACTTAAACTTTCTTTCCCCTTCGAATTCATCTATCGCCCATCTGCAATCCATCTCCTCCCACCATCTTCCACTCTTAATTATTTCGACAATTAAAGTCTGTCAAAGTTTATCAAGCTACATACACTCTGAAAATACTTTCTTGAGTCTGAGATCTATTCCCTCGAGAAACAAACAAAATAAAGAACTTTTACTTGTTCTTCCCTCAAACTTTCCCTTCTTGTGCGCCGAGTCGTGAACAGTACCAAGTCGTAAGTAATTCACGGTTTCCACAATTCTAGTCATGTAGCCTGTCTATGGTAGTATCTCAATATGTGCTACTGTACCATGATGAGTTGTATTGGCATACTTATCTATGTGATTCTACGGGCCCATCATGACACTGGTTGGTTGGTTTACTTTGATGCGATTCTCGGATTGCTAACACTTCTTCTACCACTACTTCTAGAATACACAAGAGCCTAGTCGGACATTGTATTTAAAGTCTCTCGTCGACCAGAAACACAAACTCAAACACATAAAGGAAATCAACCTTAAAGAGATCTTTTCTCTACACCAATATACAAGATGGTCAAGGATACCAAGTTATACGATCTGTTGAGTGTAAGGCTCCATCCCTCTCTGTGATTCAGAGAACAATGCTCAACTCCAAAAATAGGTTGCACCAACTGCCACTGAAGCAGAACTCAAGAAAGCATACAAAGTCGGGGCTCTGAAACATCATCCAGGTTAGTGATCCCCCAGATTCTTCCCTCTTTTTGTTCTTTTCTCCTTTCTCTCACTTCCGAGACGTGATTCTGACATCCGGCCAATAGACAAGAATCAACACAACCCTGACGCCGAGGAAAAATTCAAGGAAATCTCCAGAGCATACGAAATTCTTTCGGATCCTCAAAAGCGCCAAATCTATGATCAATATGGCGAAGAAGGATTGGAGGGTGGTGGAGGAGCCGGTGGAATGAATGCCGAAGATCTATTCTCACAATTCTTTGGTGGTGGTTCTGCATTTGGTGGTGGTGGATTCGGCGGTATGTTCGGTGGTGGTGGTGGCATGCAACAACGTGGCCCACCAAAGGCCCGTACCATTCATCACGTCCACAAGGTTTCGCTTGAGGACATCTATCGCGGAAAAGTCTCCAAACTCGCTCTCCAGAAATCCGTCATCTGCCCCAAGTGTGAGGGACGAGGTGGAAAGGAAGGTGCCGTTAAGAAATGTGCTGGATGTGACGGTCACGGTATGAAGACAATGATGCGCCAGATGGGACCTATGATCCAACGTTTCCAGACTGTCTGCCCTGACTGTAATGGAGAGGGAGAGATCATCCGTGAGAAGGACAAGTGCAAGGGCTGCAATGGTAAAAAGACTACTGTGGAAAGAAAGGTTTTGCACGTCCATGTCGACAGAGGTGTTCGCAGTGGACACAAGATCGATTTCAGAGGCGAGGGTGATCAAACACCAGGCGTGCAACCAGGTGATGTTGTTTTCGAGATCGAGCAAAAACCCCACGACCGTTTCCAACGCAAAGACGACGATTTGTTTTTCCATGCCGAAGTCGATCTTTCGACTGCCCTTGCTGGTGGAACCATCTTTGTCGAACATTTGGATGAACGATGGTTGAGTGTTGAAATTCTTCCAGGAGAGGTTATCAGCCCAGGTAAGCAATGCATTCCACTGCGCCCACATTGAATTAGTTTAACAGTTTTTATAGGAAGTGTCAAGATGATTCGTGGCCAGGGTATGCCTTCATATCGTCACCACGATCACGGAAACTTGTACATCCAATTTGATGTCAAATTCCCAGAGAAGAACTGGACCACCGATCCTGCAGCGTTCGAGGCCCTCAAGACCATTCTTCCACCCGCGCCAGAAGGCATTACACCACCTACCGATGCGATGACCGAAGTTGCCGATCTCGAGGATGTCGATGCCAGTCAGCAAGCTAGAGCCTCAGGTGCCGGTGCCATGGACGAGGACGATGAAGATGGCCAAGGTGGCGAACGTGTCCAATGTGCTTCTCAATAAATTCATAGTAGTATTGGCGTTTGGCCTGGGGATTTTCTTCGTACTTTTCTTTCTTCATACAGAGATTTTTTCATCAACCTCTTTTGCATCTTTCGTCGGTTATATGATACACTATACTTGTTCTTCATGGTCTCAAGTGCGATACCACCATGGCCCATTCAAATTTTCAAGGCAAGGGCTTCTTGAATTTTGGCCATTAGCATACACGAATGACGAGATGAGCGGGTTTGGTTTCTGGGTGAATAGACGAGGGCTCGGAAGAACGAAGGGGCTAAGAGCCTTTGGACAACTCGATGTGCATGAATGGTGCGGACCCTAATTTTCTTATGAGAACATGAGAATCATACATTATGAAATGAACGGAGCATCTTTTCTAAGAGTTTCATACGATCTCAGATCAAGATGAAATCAGAATTGATGGAATCAATACATCCGAGAACCTCTGGCTGATGATCTCTTATCTTAATATGGCGTTTAGACAGCTGGGATAGATAGCATGTAGGAAAAAGAAGCAGATTATGAATCATTGTTTGTGTTTTGTGGATGGCATGATTATGTGATATGTTGCTTTACTGCGAGGTGACATGTACGTCAATTTGTAGATGCCCTTGATAATTTCCTGGTCGTGAATCTAATGCTGTGACCTATGTACCCGACCCATACTCTTTAGCCGAAGGAAAAGGAGGGACCCTAAAATATTTCAGACACATACAAATCCATGAACTCATAAATCTCGTTCAATTATATTCATTAAAACGAGGCACTAACTACTAACTACGGTACTGGTATCAGTAATGGTATTGTTACACACAAGCATCCATCTATCAAATTCTCATGCAACTTCTTCGTTCTCATATCCATCCATGCATGACTAAGTTCCTAAAAGTATTCTCCATCCTTCATCCCATCCCATCGACATAAACATTATAAACGCCTCCTCTCATCTTTTTCTCACCTCAGAATATCTCTTTAAAGCATATGCTAGACCATACAAAAAATTATACGTCCATCCCTCATCCACCTTCTCGACTCTGATTCACTCATCCTCAAAAGGCTTGACCTTAATTCCAGCCCCCTTAACTGCCTTTCTCAATTTATCCCTCGCTTCTCTCTTCCTCTTCGCCGCTTCACTCAATTCCGATTTTTCTTCAGCACTGTACCCGCTGACCTTCTTCCTCGGACTGGGACTTCCATAAATCGAACCCGAACCACTCATCATGAGAGTCGAACCGCCTAATCTTCTCGAGGCAGAACCCTTAAACTGACTTTCCGGTGTGTAGAAAAGTCTACTTGAGTTCGAGGTACCAGGTGTATTGACTCTCATACTTAATCTATTTGTACTCTTCTGCGGTGTTCTCAAGGAGGGCGATGATTCTCGACTAGTAGTATTGAATCTCATTTTGCGCATCTGGTTTTCGAGTACATCGACATCGCCGCTGCGTTTCTCCGCCATTGAAGTCATTTTGGTGATGGTACGCATGATCGCTTCAACGGTGGGAGCTGCGTTTTTTGCATTCCCGATGGAATCCTGAGATGCAATTTTAGCTCTGAGAACCGTGAGGCCTTCTTCGGCTTCAGAAAGGAGTTTTTGGAAGTTCAAGTAATCTCGACGAAGATCGTGTTGCTGTGCGGCTTGCTCGGCATTAAGTGGTTGTGCTCGAGCTATCGCTACTTGGTCAGGGTGTATATGTGATTGAACTGTCTTTTTGACTTCTTCGAATCTTTGTCTTAATTTGACAGTTTCCTTCTCGAGGTTTTCGCAAGTTTCGATTTTGCCATCCACATCTTGAATTTTACCCATTTCGAGTTCGCGCGCTAGGTCCTTTTCCACGATATAGGAAAGTGCTTTTATTTCATCTAGGCACCATGACTCATCATCTTCAAGATCCTTTCTGCCCCTGTCTTCTTTGAGTTGCTCTGTGTGGCCCTTGATAAAGGATTTCAAAGCCTTTGCATTTAAACCAAGAGTGTCAATCATAGAATTGATATCGCGGTACAAAATTTCTACCTGAGCCGGAATACTATCACCCTTTTCAGGCGATTTGACATCTGAATAAGCGACAAATTCATCTAAAGTCCTCGTGGCTTCAATGTCCTCTGTGAGGAATTTCTGCATCTTATCATCTTCATCATCGACGAGCGATCTAGTCTCCTCTGCCTCCTTTCTTGCTCTAGCCTCAAGACGACGCTGTTCCTGTGCCCTCTCTTGTTCAACAGATGTCGCAAAAGTGCTTTGCGTAGGCGTAATTGCTCGTCCTGGTGGCTTTTGCGCGTTCAGTAGATGTGATGCGAATCCTGGCGCGCTGGCAGACCGGGACGCATCGGGACGCATCATTCGCGGCGGAACAGCCGTTCTCACGGGACTGGGTGACCGAGGTGATGGAGGAATTATAGGGCCTGTTGGCGGCGGTAGTTTGGGGGCAGCACTAGTCTCTCCGAAGAGACCCCTCGATTGTCCAAACGAGGGGGGCTTTTGTACTTTTGTGAAAGGACCGATATCTGCTTTCGCTTTCTGGTTGCCTCCGAAGGAGCTCTGAGGTGTTGGGCTTGGCGTGACGTTATCCTCAGATGTTGGACTATCTAGCTTTCCGAGATCCTCTCCGCTTCCCTCTTCACTCGGCTCTTTGCTCTGATCGTCGTCTTCATCTTCTGTAAGGAAGTCGGAATCATCACCTTCATCATCCGGGCCTCCAGGTATATCGTCTGTTGGGGCTTCAGGTGCAGGTGCTTGAGCCGGCGACTGAGAGTCTTTTTTGATTGGAGGTGGTATTTCGGTTTGAGTTGGTTTAGGTTTTAGGACAAAATCGGGTGGTAAGGGCGCATCATTCTCTTTTTCAAAGGTAGGAATATCTTTAGCAACGGGTTTAGGTTTAGGTGTGAAATCCGGAGGAAGTGGTGCATCATTTGCAGAGGCAGACGTTTCCCCGACAGTGTAGCTGGATTTACTCGTTGGATCTGGGGGCAGAGGAGCTTCAGGCATTCTATCGCTTGGTTCTTGTTTGATCTTCACAGGTAGTGAAGAAGAAGCTGGAGCTGGCTTAGTAGGTATAGCCGCGGCGAAGGGATTTGGGGTGGCTTTAGCCGGGGCTGCGAAAGGATTTGGAGCCGCCTTTACTTCGGTGCTCGCGAAAGGGTTAGGTTTTGTGGATCCAGAAGCAGAACCAAAAAGTCCACCACCAGTAGCGGGGGCTGTTGTGTTAAAAAATGAAGACTTTGCCGGGGCAGGAGTTGAACTTGGAGTTACGGATTGAGGTTTTGTTTGATCTTCTGCTTCTGGAGCGTCCATATCTGCATCTTTCGAAACAGGTGGTTGCACAGCGGGGGTCTTCTCTGCCTCTTTCAAAGCGTTACCAAAGGCTCCACCTCCAAAGAACGAATTCTTTGTTGCAGTCGTGTTATCTGGCTCGGATTCTTTAGAAGTATCGGCCTTGAACGTGGAACCAATGACAAACTTACCGCCTCCGAAAGTACTTGACGAAGACTGTTGCTCAGTTTTATTGGCACCCCCGAAGAGACTGCTAGATTGCGCTGTATTGCTAGTATTGCTTGAACCGAATATCCCGCCACTAGTACTTGGAGCGTTGTTGTTAGTAGAACCAAAAATGCCACCTCCACTGGCGGGCAATGCGGCAGGTTTAGAACCAAATATGCTTCCTCCGGTGGCTGGGGTAGCTGCAGCTGCGAAACCACCTTGATTTGCAAAATTAGCAAATCCTCCAGACGCTTGAGGCTTGCTTCCAGTAGCAGCACTTGAGCCAAATACAGGTTGAGATGCCCCCAAAGCACTTGATTGACCAAAAGCTGTGCCTGTGCTTGGCGCAGTAGTATTCGTAGAACCCCATACTGATTGTCGCCCTGGCAAACCCGATTGTCCGAATGCTGGGGCGGATGGTGTACCGAAGGCTGGCGCGCCGAAAGCTGGACCTGCTTGTGCTGCAGGAGGGGCCATTGATGGAGTACCAAAACTTGGCGTTCCAAATGCTTGACCGGTCTGACCACCCTGGGCACCCCATGGCGACTGTGTCTTGCCCATAGCAGAGGACGACCCGAACGCACCTGTCCCAGCAGGAACTGCTGGTTTCCCAAATGCCGAGTTGGTAGGAGCTTGGCTTCCGAAAGATTGACTTGAAGTACTGGCAAAGGCAGGTGCTGCTGTGGTAGCCTGTTGCGAAGGCGCTACCCCTTCAGCAGCAACTAGACCTGGATATATAGTTTTCTGCCGAATCGAGTCGTTGTAGATGATCCACCAAGAAGCCAGGACGCCTTCGTTGTTCAGAACCATAAGAGCAGGCGCGGGGTAAGGTGATTCATCGATCTCTTCATCGCCGGGAATCGGCTTCCAGATCTTCGTAGTGCTTGATAGATCAAGCGCAAAACCAATGGGAGAGGTATCACCGAACCCTCCACCTGATGTTGCAGGAAGCTGAGCTCTAAAAGAGTCGTCGGCCATTTCTGTCATCGTGAATACCCCTGTTATTCTGTCTGAGGGTTTATCGGTAGTTAGCGGTACGCTCGATTTGGTGAAGAGATTGATGTCCGTGGATGCCGTCGAGCCTACTACCAGTAAATCCTGTATGCTTGGGGGAAAGTCTTTCAAACGAAGCAAGAAGTGATGCGGTGGTGAACGATTGAGACCATACGGTGGAGCAGGATCGGTAAGTTTCTGGAACGTGAAGATCGCAGGTGGTTGCCTCGTAGCCAGATGGAATTTGGACTCGGGAGCATTGCTAGGGTCGAAGTTTGATGGTGTATGCACAAGCAAGAATACGTTGTTTTCGAGCCAAGTAATGGATGATACTTCGGCGTGTTAGTTTTTTCCTGTGATAGGAAACAACAAAGAAGACTTACCATGATCACCATCATTTAAGCCGGGCGGCTTTGGGATTTCTGCTTTGATTTCCCCCTCCGGTGTCATTTGCACAGCACTGCCATCGCCTAGCCCAGCTACCAATTGTTTTCCTTTAGTGGACCACGAAACGCAGCTGACGCCACTCCTTAAGACCTGACCATTGGGTCCTGGTTTGAACGCGCGATCTTTAAGGTTCGCCATCATAAGGTTTCCATCCCCGGTCACAACCGCCAGAAGCTCGCCTTTCTCCCTGGTGGGATTTGGCACAAGAGCTCGCAAAGATTCGCCATTTGTAGGTACTTCGAAAGCTGTTTGTGTAGATCCATTGAGAAGAGCGTCAACATCGTAGACAGCCAGCCCACCACCAGTCTCCGCAGATAGAATCAAATAAGCGTCGTCCGCTGAAAAGGCAAGCTGTGATACCCTCATGGGCATAGGAATTCTGAGCTCAGGCTGGAAAGTTTTGAAATTTCCACTGCCAGGTCCCTCAAATGCCTTTTCCACTGATGCCGTCCTTGCAACAACTATAGCGTCTGGACCGGCCGCTGCCAGCAATCCACGGCGGGAAGATATGCTCAGTAACGAGGATGTTGGAGGAGGAGGGTTATCGGCTGGCCATGCTGAAGGAAGTAATTGTAATTTAGATTCGCCCGCGAGAGCATGAAAGTGAAGGGCCTATGCTTGTATTAACCACTGTAATCACCCTGCCAGACACTAGAATAATGTATATACCGTCGTTTGTATGTCCTCCAACTCGGGACCCAATTGTGCACTACGTCCTGTCGCACCACCAGCAGGGCCTGCACCAAGACTACCACCCCCTGGGTTACCAAAGCTGAATGCCATGATCTCAAAAGATGCCCCAGAATACTAAGTGGATTGGCAATTCATTACAGAGCTCGGCGCATGAAGTAAGTATACCGAATAATTTTGCGAAAGGAAGAAAGAAATAGACGTGAACTGAGATCGACAGCAAGTGAAATCGGAAAAGTTAATTCGAGGAGCTGTATCGAATACCCAAGCTTTGTAAATCTGCGGTGGTAAAAGAGACGATTAAAGAAGGCAAATGGTTCTAGCTTTCCACTTCAAAATAATAATAAAGCTCGATTCGCTCTCCGCTCGCGTTTTTGTAGATCACGTGTTAAATCGCGAAAGCACAAGCTCAAGCTCCAGGCGCCCAAAGGTCCTCGTCAGCGACAGCAACCTGGGATTATCAAAGTTCCGTTTGAAGCTCAGCAAAACAATCATTTCAACACATTTACGAATATTTCGAATTTCTCCCAGAATTCTACTCCGTCTAAACCCATTCCAATACCTTAGTCTCACATATAATTCCGCTCGTTGAGCTTTGTTGATACAATGCCTGGTTTCGACTTCTCCAACCATACTCGCAATGCTGCGTTGCACGCCAGAGGTGTTCCATTACCAAAAGCTACCAGCACCGGAACTACGATCGTAGGATGTATCTTTGAAGGAGGCGTAGTTGTGAGTTACATTCATTATTCTGCCATCTATAAATAATTTAAATGCCTCGTCATTTCAAAATTACACACAAACTACGATGCTGATCAGACCTTATCCAGATCGCAGCAGATACCAGAGCTACCAGCGGACCCATAGTAGCAGACAAGGTACGATCAGTATAATATTACAACTGTTGATGCAATACTTATTGCCATTAGAATTGCGAGAAACTCCATTACATTGCTCCTCAAATCTGGTGTGCAGGTGCAGGTACAGCTGCCGATACCGAATTCACAACCGCCCTCATCTCTTCACAACTCGAGCTCCACTCGTTATCAACAGGGCGCAAACCTCGCGTCGTCACTTGCATGACTATGCTTAAACAACACTTGTTCAGACACCAAGGTCACATTGGAGCATATCTTGTAGTGGCAGGTGTTGATCCTACAGGTGTTGGATTGTTCACAGTACATGCGCACGGAAGTACAGACAAGTTGCCATATGTTACCATGGGAAGTGGTTCACTTGCTGCGATGTCTGTGTTTGAGACACAATGGAAATCTAAGATGACAGAGGATGAGGCTGTCCAGTTGGCATCAAATGCTATTCAAGCTGGTATCTTTAACGATTTGGGTTCCGGATCGAACGTGGATGTGGCAATTATCACAAAAGATAAGACAACATTGAAGAGAGGCTTCGTCAAGCCAAATGAGAGAAGCAAAAAGCAAAAAAGTTATGTTTTCCCTAGAGGAACAACGGCTGTTCTCAACGAAAAGATCATTACAAGGGAGGAGATTAGTAAATATGTCACAGTACATGAGATTGAAGGTGAGGCTGCGCTAGGGGAGAAAATGGATATTGATGCTTGAGGATAGAAGGTTGTCTAGGACGGGGTCTCTACTTGTATCAAAAGACTAAATTCAAGGAAAGGCGCATCACAAATATCATGTAGCTTGAGGAGAATGCGTTCACGTTATAATGAAATATACGATGGGAGCTAAGGCTGCATCATATTAAACCGATTTTTTTATATTGATGATTCCAATTGTAGTTTAAGCCTTAAGGTGACAGACAATGGACTGATACCATTCCTAGTAAATAGATAGATGGAATAAAGAGCGAGCCGCTACCCCGCTAGCGCTTACATACCCCAAAATGTCCACTGAACGGTCGCTCTGTATCCCTACCAGAGTAATGAAACGGCCGTTTCCACTTCGTTAAACTCTTCTTGAGATAAAGATCTCGAGGTTGATGTGATTTACGGACGTAGTGAGATTTCTAGGCCCGGGAAACTCCCGAGTCACGACTTCAAAATCATGCATTATTTCAATGACTCAAATACGAACATTCCAAACTACTCTAAGCCATCCGATCAACAAAAGCAAAGTCCTGACACGGCTGATACTACTCCATCTCTTCTCCCCCCCTCTAATAATCTAGGTTCTGTATCGCCCGTCCCACCGACGGCTTCAAGCAATGCAAATACATCGACGGGACCCGCCCCACGGATTCGAAGAAGGAATCGTATGATTACATCATGTCTTGAATGCCGACGACGAAAGCTCAAGTGTAACAAATCACAACCATGCAGTAACTGTTTGAAATTTACTCGAGATTGTGTGTTTCTTGCACCAGCGCTTGACCAGGCAAGTCAACTTAAGCTTACCGAGATCAAGGAGAAAGTTGGCTCCCTGGAACGATTACTAGAACGCGATGTAGCAAAGCATTCAAATCATTTATCTTCTAACCAGCGCATGGCATTGCCTGATGATGCAGATGATAATCTACCTCCAAATGAGGATGAAAAGGTACACTCTATTCTGTGATACGCGCCCCGTTTTCACAGTCATTGACTGAACCACAATAGGATCTAGAGCCGTCGCCACTCGCATCAGTAGATGCGGTCTATGAGGTTGACGGAGACGACGATGACCTTCTTGATCTTGGAATTCAAATGGGTAAGATGAGGATTACAGAACGAATTGGAGGATTTTTCCGTCCTAAGATCAGCCAAGAGGTAAGATCCCTTGATGATTATACTCTTGCCATCCCCAGAACACCCTTTCTTTATCTGAGTGACAGATTGGCTTGCAATAGTCTGTTGATCATAACCTGTTTGACAATGGGCTTTTTGGTTAATCACAGGAGCACTGGATTACACCGGCGTTACCGCGAACCTCAAAAGTCGCTGGGTTCATCAGTTAATATTCTGTTCCCCTACCTATTGTGATACTCCTAGGATTTTTATACCTTAATAACACACCAAGCTGTAATTGGGAAGACATCGCTAAATTCCTCGTAGCTTGAGCATGCAATAAAAGACCCATATGTTTGGGGAAAGGAGGATGATTCGATCGGCATCCACACCTTACCTCCTGCTCAGGAATGGCTGAAGCCTGGGCTAGCTTATATTGCTCCTTCGTCAGGTTTCTTCTTTGGACAGACAGGACAACCAGCATCCCTCATAGACTTTCTTCCATCTCGACTTGCTGCCGATAGGCTTGTCAAACAATTCTTTATAGCTGTCTATCCCATCGCACAAATTTTGCATCGGCCATCATTCGAGAAAGAATACGACACATTCTGGGACGAAGTCTCATTAGGCATCGAGCCTCCTAATCCTGTCCAAGCTATGGTATTTGCAGTCATGTTTGCTGGTGTTGTTAGCATGGTTCCCTCAGAAGTTATTCGTGACTTTGGTGTCGCAAAACCAAGTTTGATTGATAACTTTAGACTGGGTACGGAAACAGCTCTTGGTCGTGCCAATTTTCTACGAACAACCAAAATTGAAACACTCCAAGCTTTTGTTTTATATTTGGTTTGTCTAAGCCTCTTATAGTCATGCTTACCATACTAATCAGGCCACATAGATACCTCTTTGTAGAGCGGAGGTCTCCAGAGCCCATTCTGTACTTGTTGGAGCGGCCATTCGTATGGCCGAATGTATGGGTCTCCATCGTGATGGAGAGTTCTATGGGCTATCACCATTAGAGACCCACGTACGTCGGCTTATTTGGCATCAGCTATGCTTTCTTGATATCAGAACTTGTGAAGCTCAAGGCCCACGGCCTACTATTCGTCGAGATGATTTTGATACAAAGTTACCACTGAATGTTGACGATATTGATCTCCATGCTACTGGAAAACCACCTGAGACTGCAGATCGTTGGACAGATGCCACTTTCTCAATCATCAGATTCGAAATCAACGAAATGTATAGAATAATCTGGGTTGACCGACCTCGAATTCAAATGCGGAAGATTAGTCTCACAGCCGTTCTTAGTAAGATAGAGACATTTCGGCAAAACATGACCAAGTATGACAAGCTTATGGATGATAGAGTGCCCATCCAAAAGTGCGCAAAGCTTGTCAAATCTGTTCTGCTTTCTCGAATGCATGTCATGCTACTTCATAGCTATCATAGTTCTACACATTACCGAATGCCCGACCGTCTACGGAACATTATGATCACTAATGGCCTCCATTCTATGGAAAGTGCAATAGCTCTAGAGACTACACCAGCGCTCCACAACTGGGAATGGTATGGAGGGGCATTTCAACAATATCATACAGCCTTTCTTCTTCTGATGGAAGTATATGTTCATCCCCAGAGAAAGGAGGCAAACCATATCTGGTCGTGCCTCGATTATGTCTTTGAGTGTGACCCTCACCTGCCGCGACTCACCAAAGCAAGAAAGATTCTTTCTGAATTGCAACAGAAGACGGCTGTATATCAAAGTATGAGAGGCATGCGAGCACCGGTGACTATGAACAAACTTGTTGGCCAGCGGCCTCCTAAGCCAACTTCGGAAGAAGGTCGTGCAACGGGTCCCGTACCGAATCCCGTACCATATTTACTCGGTAAAATGCCCCTTTCTGACTCAGATGCAATAATCTCGAGTGTTTCAAACGATGAACACGTCGGGACTTATCCAACTGGGCGGACTAGTGAAGTAAGCAGTCCAGCTAGCACAATGGGGCAGCAGATAGTATCTCAATCATCAAGTGTCAACGACGATATTATGGCTGACATAGACTGGGTATGTTCTTCCAGCTATCTAATATACGTTGTTGCTAATTCTACTGCAGGATGCATTCGATGCACTATTTCCACCAGATCAACAATCAGAGCTCGACGTTCACAATTTCTCTTTTTCGAACACAGGTATTGGCTTATAATTTTGGTACGATATAGAAACATTTTGATGTTTATCAATGTTAAATACGTTTGTTATTTTCCTTCTTCGTTCTGTTCTGTAAACTGTACATTACATCCATCATTTAGAACTATTTGAGCAATGTTCTTGTTCATTGAGTTGAGTTGGACGAATTATTGATAGCTTCTTTTCCCATGCTCATCCCTATTCGGCCACAAAGAGGGGAAATCTGCCCCACATCACCCTGGCCGGACGCCCTCGGCCAATAACCCCAGCAATCTGGAACGAACCAGCGATTTCGCCATATCTATATAGATATCACGCAATTGACCAAAGAAAGTAGATCTACAAATGAAACCGAACCTAAACTTCCGTCATTATGAGAAAAGATGGAGTGACATACGCAATTATCAAGTATGAGATAAGATAAATAATAATAGTAATAAGTAGCTATCACCCCCCTCTTTCGAAATCCCTCTCTTTCTATCCTTCTATATCAAATCACATTTTTGATACTTTCGAATATCTTCACTTATTTCATTTACCATTTAACATCGAAGAAACTGTGAAAATGGCTCCTTCACTTCTTGATACCCAGCCTATAGCACCCCATCAAATTTCCTCTCCATCCCAAAAAACCATTGATCGCAAAGTCTTCCCAGATGGTATCAAAACTTCGGGTCAACATCCACCACTTTACGATCAATTGAGACCTTACTCTGATTTTCCAAAAGAAATCACCGGAGAAACAGTGTGGAAAGCAGAAGATTATATCAATAACCCAGAAAGATGGGTTCATGTTTTCAATGAGGAGGAAATCGCAGAACTGAGTGCTGTAGCGGATAAGTTCATCGCGGATAAAATCCCTCTGACGGGTATTTCTCAAGTATGTGGTGCAACACTCGAATGTCGTCCAAGTACGAATTAAAGGATTCCTTGACTAATTCCAACCAGGATACCTTCCGCCTCTCAAAAGTTTCTACTCTACTAGCATCAATTCGAGCGGAAACTTTGAACGGAAAGGGCTTTATCCTTTTCAAAGGATTTCCAGTCGAGAAATGGGGGAATCATAAATCTGCCGTTGCATATATGGGATTAGGAACCTACCTTGGATATTTTGTTAGTCAAAATGGTCGAGGTCATGTTCTTGGACACGTTAAGGATCTTGGCGAGGATTCAACACAAATTGATAAAGTTAGAATTTATAGAACCAACGCCAGGTAAGTCTCTATCTTGTTATTATTCTGTGTTGAAAAGCTAACAAAATTAGACAATTCTTCCACGCCGATGACTCTGATATTGTCGGCCTTCTGTGCATCGCAAGAGCGCTCGAAGGCGGAGAATCCGATATCGTTTCTTCGCACCACGTTTGGAACACTTTGCAAAAAGAACGCCCTGATGTAGCAGAAACACTTACCAAACCTATCTGGTACTTTGATAGAAAGGGAGAAGTCAGTGTTGGTGAAGAACCATACATCAAGACCTCTGTCTTTTATCTCGAGACCGGCCCCAATGGTCGTGTATACTCAAAATGGGATCCATACTACGTGAAGTCTCTCACTCGATTTTCGGACGCAGGAGTCATTCCACCTTTGTCACCCGAACAGGTTGAGGCTGCTAAGGTTCTGGAAGAGACTTGTCACCGATTGAGATTGCACATGATTCTCGAGATTGGTGATATCCAATTCTTGAGTAACGAACACGTACTTCATGCTCGTACTGCATATAAAGATCATGCACCACCAGCACCAAGAAGGCATCTTATGAGACTATGGCTGGCGACACCGGAGAGTGAGGGAGGATGGAAACTACCGTTCCATGATTCGAACGAGAAGAAGAGAGGTGGCATTCAGGTCAATGATCAGGCTCCTGTTGCACCACTGGATGCAGAATAGATCTTGTGAAATGGCAATATCATTATAGACAGCGTAGAGTCATCGATGACCAAAATGAATTACTGAACATATCAAGCTAAAGTCTTCAATTTGCTTCAAACATTGCCCTTCCAGTATGTGCGTTCATTCAAAATAACGAAGCTCTAACACTCCACTCGTTTTGAGCCATCGCACGTTGGGAAACGCATGCATGGGGCAAATATCTGTCTAGAAAGGCGATTAGTGACTTTCCTGGACCGAAGTTATTTCGACATACTCTCAATTGCATTTTCTCCCTCCATCCGTACTCGCATCGTCTTACTTCCTCACATAATAACACAGAGCTTAATATTATCCTTCCTCTGAATCCTTTGCTTCTTCTCCACTTTCTTCTTCCTCGGCTCTGGCGTCAGATCAGGCGGACCAAACCACTATTCTCATGCACAGTATCAGCTTCTTTCATCATCTCAACTACCTCAGTCTTCTAACCCTTTCCCTCGCTTTCCCTACCCACAACCCAAGCAAACTCACCGATCCACCCGTCTTCCTCTCCTCAACCATCTTAACCAAGTTTCTGTCATACACCCCCCTGAAATCATGCGTCGGACACATATTTTTCACCACTCTTACAATCATCGGTCCTTCGATTCTTAAGGAACTAGAGGCGAATATTGGACAGGTGAGGAGGCCCATGCCCCAATTGCAGGGTTGGGCGATTTGTATCCATTGGCAGGGCTGGTGAGGAGCGTTTTTGTCTTTGGATTTGGGGGAAGAGGAGTGGGATTGGTGATGATGAGAACGAGTATGAGAATGACCGTTGGGGTCCTGGTGCTCGTGGCAGGTGAAGGATTGGTGAAAGGTATATTTGCACATTTCGGTAGATGTTAATTAGTGGATGGTTTGAATGTGGCTTGAAATCTGTAGCGGAGTAACAAATCGCTGGATACTTTCTTCTACTTGGTGATGTGAATCCGACGGCGCTCTTGAGAAATGCGAGTTGAAGGAGAAACCATGCAGGTGTGAGTGAATCGACGGAATACATATAAAAAGCTCTAAACCTCTTTTTTCTCGCAATGATTCACATGTGGTAGGAAAGAACGAAAAGTGAATGATAAGGCTGATACTCGTATTACATCGAATTTCCTCAGACGAGAGTCATTGTGACCGTATGGGTAGGTATATCTCATCATCCATTGAGAAGTAACGCTAGTCCTCCGATGCAATACCCCATTCCAAACTCCGCACATCCCATGTAAATATGTACATATCATACAAGTCCAACCGTTTATAGCTTTATAACTGTTCAGGCCCGGGGTTCTCTTCGCTACTTTCCTCCACTTGTTTCTTTCGTATTGCTTGCATGAGCTCATACAATTGCCCTAATTGTTGATCTGAACTCTCTGTTAGCATTTGGTATCATCAAATTATGGCAAAATGCATACCACTCATCTTGTCAATCTTCTCTTTATCCATACGCTCCCCAATCCAACTTTCTCCCTCAAGTTTCTGTGCATACATCTGCCACTCCGTTAAAAAGCCAATCTATCCCTCAATTAGCTCTCGTGAATCCCAATCCTCTCCATTCATTTTCCAAAGCACGAAACTCACAATATGCACCGGGTTCTCCACCTCCCTATGTTGTCTAAACTCGCTCTTGATATACTCATCCCCCAATAACCTCATTTCTCTCGGTAAATGTTTCCTATGCGCTCTAAATAACCTCCGATATAGAGGAATCGGTGGCAGTAAAGCTAAAGGTGCAGGTCTCAATCCCTTTCCAGTACCTGCCGCCGAAGGCGATGCCATTAACAAGCGTGGTGAAAGCTTCATTTTGAAATGTGGGTGTTAATTGTAAAATCTGGGGAATGAGGCATGAGAGCTCGTGAAGTCATCGATCCATGATGACTTTCGGCAATCTATTTCCCCGCCAAAAATTAATTTATCAGCCTTGTCACTCATCCGCTTCTCACACAATCAAAAGATCTGTTGCGCATCTGAGGGAACTTTCAAAATCCGGAACTGTATAGGGAAAGTTTAAATTTAAATACAGATTTGCAAAGAGGAAGCTTCTGCGATCTCGAAAAAGGAAACTGTCCCAGTGATTTTCAAAGAAAAATATAGCTTTTCCGACAAAGGGCGTTTTGAGCTTTTCGCGGCTCCTCTTGCTTCCATCCCAGTTACAGCCTTCTCGCATTCACTTACACGCAGTCTGTTGCGCGAACAAGGTAGAAATGCTTCCGACTCCCGATACCTCACATGTGTCGTTTGATAGAATCTACGAACCTGCCGAAGATTCCTTCCTGCTCCTCGACACCCTATCCTCCGTGAGTGAAAAAGAATTTCTGCGCCAACGATTTCCTCAAAGAGGACTGAGCTCGTTATCGCCCTCTCCATTGGTAGTAGAGATTGGTACTGGATCTGGAGTTGTTCTCTCCTTCGTACATGCACATACAGAAATTATATTTGGCAGAGCGGATATTCTTACAGCGGGCGTCGATGTCAATCGCTATGCATGCGAGGCTACACAGGAAACAGTGAGAGTAGCGGAGAAGGACCAGGCTTCACAAAACATATCACACGGGTCGTATCTAGGGAATATGGTGGGAAATTTAGGAACTTCTTTAAAGCCTGGAATGACAGATGTATTGATTTTTAATCCGCCATATGTGCCAAGTCCGGATGTGCCTATACCAGAGCTTTCTGGGGCAGGTAACGAGGACGGGTCATTGTCATATGAAGGGGACTCAAAATTACTAGCTTTGTCGTATGCGGGTGGAGTGGATGGTATGGAGATTACGGATCGGCTAATCGATGCTTTGCCGGACGTTCTGAACCAGGAGAGAGGTTGTGCGTACATCTTGCTCTGCGCGCAGAACAAACCCGAGGATGTCAAACAACGAATACGTGGTTTTGGAGAAGAGTGGAAAGCGGAAACCGTTAGTAATAGTGGAAAGGTTGGGGGATGGGAAAAATTGCAAATTGTTAGGATTTGGCGCATGCCACCTAACACTACCTGAAATCAACGTAACCAGCACTCGTCCATATTGTTCTGATGCGGTCAAAAAAGCGCATGTGTATTTCAAAGCCCATGGATAAGGCATCCCATTGTTCGTTCGTAAGTGATCGATTTAGCTGCTTTTCATATGCCACTCGAAACGCCAATATTCCCACAAGCTGTGCATGCACGACACTCTCTTTCTCCCTTGATCATCTCCCGTCTGTATAGTCAAGTAGAGCAAACATTCTTAATATAATCTCCCCGTTCCAAATTCTCGACTTGCCGCCATTAACGTCATAATGATCATCGAATATCCCATCTGCCCTTTGTATGCAATCCTTAGAATCCTCTTCCACCGCCTCGTCCTCGCCCTCCTCTGAATCCACCACCGCCTCCTCGTCCTCCACCTCGTCCACCTCTAGGTCCGCCTCTACCACCTCTACCGCCTCTAGTATCGGTAGTGCCTGCAACTTCCTTTCTCGCCTTGTTCTTTGGCTTTGGTGCATCGTCTATCAACAATGTGTCGAGCGGTAACGAATCAGGCAGAATGTAATAACGAATCGTGGAACCTCGTAGATTAATGGTATCAAGGGTGAGAGATGTGCCATTCTTTGGCGTCATCTTGACGGTGCGGAGAGCTGTGTTCATTTGAGGAGATACTGAAGTTATGGTACCGTGGATGATTGTGCCTAGTATGCTTGTTAATAGACAGCTATCTGGCAGCGCCCGGAGCTTGGGAATTGCGGATAAAATTCATACCATTTTTAAGCTCAATAGTGACCGTTTCGTTCGCGCATTTCATGAGGAACCTACCATAGAAGGAGAAAGTCAGTCAGGAGATTTAGATGGGAGCCTTGAGAAAGAATTTGAGCTCAGCGCGTGCCAATTAAAACGCCTTGTAGTAAGAGGGATATGCTTACCTGACGAGCTTCATAATGACGGTTTTATTGTTGATGTATATCGAAGGTTGATAGTGGATCGTGAGGACGATTGATGGGCCTCTACATAAATAAAGCATTTGAAGCTTTTATCGCGAGGTTCGAAATGGTTTTGGGGCCTGATATCTAAGGCTATATTTTCCATGTGCAAAGCTGGTGCATCTAGCTCGGATTTGGAGGGGGTTGAACGAAAGACAAATTTCTATCTAAGTAATTCAAATAGTGGAAAATAATATCCATTGTAGTATACTTTGGGGGTATCCATAATTTTTTGTATAAGTTTCAAACATTGTACTTCAGGTACACCGACATTCAATGATCATCTAAGTAACCGGGTATTTCCTCAAGCTCCCATCATTTCCATCGGACATTGTGCCATCATTTCCAACAACTACCCTCTGCGATGTTTATTTATCCTTTTCGTTCTCACTGACTTTCTCCCACTCATCCTCGGTACTGGGCTCACTCTTATTTCCTCCTCCCGTAGAATGTGCTCTACTCTTCAACTCCCCCTTGGCTTCCAAAACCTCGACCTCCTTGCTTCCTGGCGGACCATCGTCATCAACAACAGTCTCTACATCCGTATCACTAGCGTCTCCTCCCGCTCCCGCTTCTGTCTTCTTCCGTGCTTCCTCTTGCTCTTTCACCATCCTCAACTCTGCGGCGAACCAGTTTATAGCCCACCACAATCCGCCACAAAGAAACGATAGAATCACGAAATGGATACTATATGTAGCGATCAAGAGGGATAAGAACACAAGCTGTAGGGCTGCGAACGTGGCATTGGTTGCAACAAGGAGGACGGGAGTTGGACCAGGTGTGAAGATGGATTCCCAAAGGGAAACGAGGAATTCCGATGCCATGACTGGCTATTTCTATTTCTTATACTGATTTTACTCTCTTGGCAGAGGAGTAGCTTTCGTAGCTCGTAGTAAACAATAAAACGGATAGAGAGATCTTTCAGAGAAGGATATGTGTTGCGGAGATGTCGAGATACTAGATATCAGAGTGATTAGTGGGATGGCATTCACCTATTTATAATACCCCTCACCTTCCTGCTTCAGACGAAATGACGCACACCTTGGATGATTTTGCTGGATATTTCACGACCACGTATCCTAAGATTCTTGTAGCCTGGAGAAAACTTTCAAAGGGACAGATTTATCGTTTCTGAGAAGTTGAAGTTGTGAAGAAATAAAATAATGCAAGTTGTATGTATCATTCAGAAGCTTGACAACGCGACGCCCCTCTATTCTGCCTGTTCTCGGCTTTTTTTGGGTCACACCTAAGACAAGACAAAGTGAATAATTGAATGCCTTGCGATTGAGGTTAGAAGAACTAAAGCTTCTATGATGAATAATAATCGGAATATATATTGATCCATCATTACAAGTTTCTACTAGTATATCAGAAACATTGTCTAATAATATATATCGTGGTGTATCACTTTTGCATGCAATGCACAGAATTCGCAAGTTGCACAGCAAACATAAGGGAAAAAGTTAGAGGCCAAAAGCTCAAATACTTCGTAGCTACGCGTGGTAGTTTCAGTTGTAAAGAGTTACATCTACCTGCAAACCTCGAAATCGTCCGTAGGGATCTTTTTCAAACATCATACAATCCATCTGATGCCAGTATTGTGCACCTTTCAAGCTCTCTCTTGAAATCCTGCAGCAGACAAATACGAGGGATCTTGGACAGTACATCAAAGCAGGAAATCTACATCCATTCGTTCATTCATCTCATGCTTTATTCGACCAATCTCAATCAAAGTCTAAGTGGACTTGTGTACCAGATGTTCAAGGATAATATTCAGGTTCTTATCATACAAATTCTCAAGTATCTGCTACCGGCAGTGTTACACCTATTTGACAAACCAGCTGGACGTTTCTCAAGAGCTGTTGTGATACTTGGCGCCAAGCATAACGACCTCAAACAGCTTCTTCCACATTTTCAACCTGGATCACTTCATTCTTTTCGGTCCCACCAGTGGAGGTAGAGCTAACAGATCCCCTGGGCATGTATTTGGACACTCGTACCGTGTCGATAATGCTTTTGCTCCTGAGAAATATTTGATCAACCTCTTCGAGATGACGGCCATTGGTTTCGGGAAAGAAGAGGTATACACCTATCAGCAGAGTCAGCAATGTATGCCTCTATCCTCCATCAATCGGGCGGTTACTCACCTAGGAGTATCAAGAAGAGGTTAATACAAGCATATATAATGTAGTATCTCCATCCTATAGTAGCGAATCCCACCGGTGTTATTTCTGCGACAATGAAATTGAAGATCCATGCACTTCCTACAACATTCAGTCAATACAAATGCAAAGGATGGTTACTATCAGATGAATACCTGTTGACATGGCAGTGATAGGAACTCGAACACTCAGCGGTGCAACCTCCGAAGCATAGAGGAAAGTCAGTCCTAGAAATCCGGTAGGGAAAAATAACGAAAACATAAAAATGAATACTGCCGCGACGATGACACATGAGGTGTTAGTAATTTGGGAAAATGTTCCAGCAATAATCGTCATGTAGGAACCCATTCCAAACGCGGCAAACATCATCAGCTTTCTCCTTCCGAATCGATCAACTGTTAAAACTCCTATCGGGGAACAAAAAGTCTGCCAAGTGAAGACGGAAGCACTCAGAACACGAGAAGTTTGTGCTGATAATCCGAGACCATTCTCAAAAATGGTAGCTTGATAGAAAGCGAGAGCGTTTATACCACTCATTTGCTGGAACATTTGTCCGCATACAGCAAGACAAGCTCTGTGGAAAAGACGTTCATCGCCCATGCAAAAAATATCACGGAATGAGTCATTTCCAGTGATCGCAAGTCCTTCTTCAATCTCTGCTATATCAGCCTGTACTTGAGCTGAGTCTATAGGCTTATCGTCCAATGCTGACACAACTTCCCGTGCTTCGTCCGTTCGCCCTTTCTTGACAAGCCAACGAGGAGACTCTGGCATATGTGGCGTGGCAATCAGTACGAAAATGGACTATACCATGGAGAGTGCTAGCGGAAATCTCTAAGTGACTCCTCCGGATAAATGAGATATTCCAAAGTTTACCCACTGATTGAAGTCAGCTTTTGTTGCTTCTCTAGCCAGTGATGATTGAGGATTAAAATAAATGTCGCGAAAAAGATGAAAGGGTGACCAACAGCAGCCGTTGCTAAACCTGCACTTATGAACAAACCTTCAAGAAGCACCACCGAGCCGCGATGATGTGCTTTAGAACATTCTGATTGCCAATTCGGAGCGGTTGCTGTCAAAGCACCAAAACCTAAGCCGGAAACAAGACGTCCAACGATTAATTGGCCTAGGGAATAAGATGAAGATTGAAGGATAGCGCCGATTATGTTGATTGCTGCTCCAAGCATGATTGTTCGTTTGCGACCTAGAGTATCACCTATTTTGATACAGGACAAGGCGCCAAAAAAGCATCCAAGAGTATAGAGAGCAACGACAGTTCCCTTGAAAAAGTCAATGGGAAAGTCAAGGTATGAGAAGTATTTGTCTTTATTTACCTGTAACCAAGAATTGTTGGTTTTCTGAGTGCCTATGACAGTAAGAGTGTTGAGCTCTGGAAAAGTTTCGATCCAGGCGGGTAGACTAAGTAGTCCACCGGCGACCTAAACGGTTCAGCATTGGTATGCCATGTTTTTGTCCGAAGCTTGATGTTTTAATGGAGAATAGCAGCACTCACAGCATTGTTGTACCCAAATCTACATTTTAGCAATGTTAGGTAATGTAATTTAGCTTTCATTCTAAATTTGCTCTGTACTCACAGGATGTAAGCAGGCATGATGACGGCCCAAATCATTACTCGATGAAGTGCCTGACCTCGGAGACCAAAGAATTTTGTCATATTTCCAGGAAATGACAAGTGATACAAGTTATAGACTCAATGGGATGGTAGGGTAATGATAGCGTAGGTAAGAGGGATGTTTATGTAGGTCGGCAAGATTCCAATCGTCACCTAGCTTTGACGATGATATTTTGTCCTTCAAGTGTCGACCCTTCCTAAATGGTCATCTTATAGTGATAACCTTTTGTTGTCGCTTACTTACAGCCGATAACCTGCTTACTAGGAAGCTACGTAACGTCCTGATCATCAAACATATATCTAGTGAAAGGATTCACACACAAAGGCAGATCTCAAACACTACATTGGTGTGGGAATACCTGTTAATTCTCTTGATGTTCTACCTCGTATCATATTTTATTTCTGAAAAGTCAAGGGGACTTCTTTCCATATGCAAGTTTAACCCCGCACTTTATATCTTGAGGGATTTTACATTGGGTCTGAAACACATCAGGTTCTGTCTATCACAAATAATACATTTGGAGCTCATGCGGCCAATGGTATTGATACTGTTGAAGTAGCGGGTGTTGAATAATATGTATACAACATGTAAACCATTGTAAAGCAAGTACAAAGCTTGGAAAGAAAGCATTTCACACTTTCCTCCTCGATTATGTTGTGGAGTGGGGGCACCCACCATTTCGATAACTTCTCCGCGTGTCAACGCGGGGCGACTAATCCTAGTTGAGAAGACGTCACTTTGGCCACAAGCTTCAAGGGTTTGCCTATCCACCTTTGAACCATACGGAACTGTTCTTCCGTCTATTTCTAACAACTACTTTAAGAAACAGCCTTCATGCATCTTTCCAACCGAGCTTTGACAAAATATCTAACCATACATCTCTAATTTTCCAATCATTAGTTTCTTGGCCATTTCAGTATACACATACTAGTCTAGGATATTAGATCTGCTCTTCGAGTGATACTGAGTACCTCATCCTTTTATCTCCGAAGCATCTCCGCCATTCGTTTTGAGAAGATCGGATCAAATGGCTACAGCATATTTGGCATCTTGGGCACATGGTCTAAAATATTCCGATTTACCACCTGATGTCATCCGAGCTGCTGTGCGAAGTTTCTATAACTGGGCAGGATGCGCCATCGGTGGAAGTGATCATCCAGCAACTACTATAGCGGTAAGTTTCCATCTCTAGCTTCCATGATTCCACGTATTCAGTGTACTGAATCTCAATGAAAGTATACTTCTCTGTCTCCATTCTTTGGTACTCCCTCGGCGTCGTTGCTTGGCCACAAAGGATCTCGTCGTGTCGATGCACAGCATGCAGCTTTGTTGAACGGAATAGCATCTCACGTGCACGATTACGATGATACGCATCTCGATACGATTATCCATCCCACAGGTCCTGTTGCTAGTGCACTTCTTGCAGTTGCAGAATGGAAAGGTAGCTTCTCGGGAAAAGAATTTCTACTCGCATTGATCGTGGGCATTGAAGCGGAATGTAAAGTTGGTCTGGCAGTCTGGCCTGAACATTACGATGCAGGGTGGCACATTACATCCACGACAGGCTCCATCGGGGCTGCAGCAGCTGTTGCAAAATTACTAAATCTTCCTATTGATCAGACAACGCATGCATTGGGAATCGCCGCAACACAAGTCGTTGGCTTGAGAGAAATGTTTGGGTCGCACACCAAGGCTTTTCATCCCGGCCGTGCAGCTCAAAATGGTCTCATGGCTGCGGTGTTGGCCCAAGGTGGTTACACTAGTAGTGAACAAGCTCTAGAAGCTAAGAGAGGCTGGGCTAACGTTGTTGGTGTTACAAAGCCAGATATCGGGGAGAATCTGGCGAAGTGGTTGGGAACTAATGATGCGTTTGGTCTGCCCACTACAGAACACCCTGGAAGGTGGGAGATTCTAAGAAATAGCTTCAAACCATTCCCATGTGGGATTGTGATTCATCCTATTATTGATGCTTGCTCTCAGCTCAAGCTCGACGTGGAAGGTGCTAAGTTGAGTGCTAAGGATATCAAATCTATTGAAGCGAAAGTTCATCCTCTTGTATTAGAACTTACTGGAAAAAAGAAGCCCCGAGATGGACTGGAAGGCAAGTTCAGCGTTTATCACGGAGCTGCCATAGGTCTTTTATTCGGAAAAGGAACTCCGAGTCAATACAAGGACCACGTAGTTCAAAGCCAAGAAGTTATTTCTATCCGCGATAGAGTCAATGCTGTAGCCGACAGCAGTTTGGCTGCTGACGAAGCAATAATAACGATCATATACGAGAATGGGAAAGTGCTTCAAAAACATGTCAAGCATGCAATTGGAAGTGTGGAGGTACCAATGGATGATCAAATGCTACAGCAGAAGTTCGTAGACCAGTGCACCGGTATTTTAGGCGAATCCGTGGAGGAAGCGAGCGATGCTTGCTGGGATATCGAGAATGCCAAGGACGTTGCCGATATTGCTAGAAGAATCTAAGATAGTCTACAACAATGCATCAGGATGTCGGAAAGTCTCGAAAATTAATCTGGGTGTTTTGAAACGTCACATCACCTTTGTTTGCTATTTGCCATTTTCTTCGTGGTTTCTGAATTCAGAAGCAAACTCAATCTACTTAATTGACGGAATATTCTTCACTCAACAAAGAATCCCTAGATGTTGCTCGAAATATCATTGGGATCCTTGGTTAGTTTTTTACTGTATATAAGAGATTTGTTTCTACATAACTTATTCTGATTGAATGTCATCACAGGCTCGGATACTTACTCATCAGGATTGACATCTTGGACTGACAGAAATGTTCGAAACAGTCTTTTTATCCACCCAATTCTCGTTGGGTGTGTGTTTGCAGCGTATCAGTTGATATTATTTAGATTCTAGAAATCAGTATTTCTATGTTGCGTTACGTTATGTCTGATTTTGCTTTCCTTCCAGACTAAATTTTCCTCGATATCCGTAGGATCGTTTTCATAATCCAGAGGCTTGCGGTAGAGACATATCATCTCAAACTTCAACCTCGACCCCTCACTCAAAACTAGGAGGTAACACCTCCCCCCTCGTCCTCAAAAGATCGCTCACAGGCGAAAATAATGTCCTCTCCCCATTTCCCTCTGCATATCGTTTCATATCCTCCCAGCGCACCCATTCCCAGCCCGCGCACTTCTCCGGCTCCACATTCCTCGGACCCTCTCCTTTCCCATCCCATCTCCCCACCATCCAAATCGTCACGTAATGTTTCCTTTCCTTCTGTCCCTCCTTCCCCTCCCCGCCAAAAAAAACTGTTCGTCGCGGTTAAAAACTTTACATCTTCCTTCCTCAAACGCAATCCTGTCTCTTCTTCCACTTCGCGTATAGCGCATTCTTCAAGTTCCTCCCCAAATTCAAGATGCCCTCCCGGATGAGCCCACAGGCCTGCACCGTGCGAGCCGAGTCGTTGACCCATGAGGAAGATGGGCGAGGCGGGAGTGAAAGAGGGGTGAGTGGGGTGCAAGAGGAAGATCCCGACGCCGATGCGGGGGTGCGGGGGAGTGGGAGTGGGAGTGGACATTTTAGGATGTGTTTTTCTCTTTGCGGTCGGAAGTTTGGGAGATTGGGGATTTGGATGTGATGGAAGGGAATGTGTGAAGGGGGTCTAGAGGAAACAATGGTCTTAAGAAGTGGGCAGGCAGAGAAGTGGGTGGAGATGATGAGTCATCGTCAATCAAGTTTTTGGAGTGTCGCATCCAATGAAGCTCGAGATTTTCCCCATTCGATTTGGAAATTAACATTCGTTGATGCAATTCATGATATACCATTTACGAGTTATTTCGTCTATTACATAGTATGCATTTCGCTTGGATACTATGAATTCGCGTGATTAAATCTCTACTCTCTATTACAGGACCTGTATACATCTCATCACATATAAGTAAACTCAATGCATCTCATCTGATTCACAGCATGGATGTAATCATCGTATTTAAAACCTCAAAAAGCGATAGGACAACGCGAGATACATCAGTTCATCAATAAACCCGTATCCACAAACTTCCCTCCAGTTCTCATCCCCACACACCAAAAGTCACTCCATATATCTCAAGATGAAACCAAAATATCCAATAAACTTCTCAAAGCGTAAGACAATAGAATAGTAATCTAGAAGTATCCCGTTCGATCTCCTCCTCATCCCTAGGCGCATCAAAAAGTACCAAGCGGAATATACCTATTTATAGACAAAAATACACACTCTACAAATCGATATTCTTTCTTCTTCTATATCCATCTTCTGTAACTTTCCATAGTGTATATAATCCCCTTCTCCTCCTCTCAGATCTTCATACCTATCATTGATCGTGGCTTATGTTATTATACGTCGGAGGATACAGAGATTACCACTAAATTATCAATTCTCATATACGAGATTGTGTGCGAAATGGCACGATATCAGTTTAGTTATGGAGAAGACGATAGTAGTTCTGAGAGTGAGGTATTTACCCCTTCTCCTTCTCGTTCCTCTCCCTTTCTCTCATATATCCAAGAAATGAATAACTAATCCAATCTCCTCACTGCAGAGCAAGTCAGCCTCATCATCAAAAACCTCTTCTTCAACAACCAAACCCAATAGCCAATTTAGCAATCCGCTCCCTCGCGCCAGCACTCCACCTTTCACCTTTTTCTTCAACGAGTCTCTCCTATTAGACCCCAATTTCGTCAACAAGAAACCCATCTCTCCCCCTACCCCTCCACAATCCCCTACATCCTTCAACCTCCATCCCGGAATTACTCCCCGAAGAACCCCACCATCCAAAAGATCCCTTCTCCCACCCCTTACCCCTTCTAAACCCATCATCTCCCACATCCCCACAAGCTACAATCGCCCACAGGAAAACACTCCAAGCCACTCCCCCTCCCCCTCCACCCGCACCATCACTTCCCCCTCCTCAACCTCCCAGAAAACCTGCACCTGCACCTGCACTCCCACCCTCACCCACCACCTCCACCAAACCACCCACCCCACCTCATCCAACCGCGACCAAACCGCACGCCTCCTCACTCCGCACACCCTCTACCGCGAAAACAGGGACGAACAAGAATCCACCATCGCCTCCCTCCAAAAACTAACTCGCGCCCTCGAAAAAATCATAGATGCCACAACCTGGTATCGATCACTAATCGAGACGCAAGAGCGCGAGATTTCTGAGGCGGAGACGAAAAGACAAGAAGCCGAGAGGAAAAGTCAGGAGATGGAAGAGAAGATGGGGAATCTGGAGCGGGAACTTGAGGTGTGGAGAGGAGGGTGGGAGGAGAGTGAGAGAAGAGCTGGGGGATTGTGAGGTGAGGGGATTCTTATTTCTTAGCGTGGATTTCGGGGATGGTAAGCAGTGAGAAGAAATTTATCGCTGAGAAGATGGTTAGGAACTTATAAAATCATGTTTACGTATTCATATCTGTGTTGTTATTCATGTTCATTACGTTGCATTTTCCATCCCAACCGCATTATCATCCAAAGACAATTCCAAGGATGATACTTCATCATTTCATCAAGATACTCTTCCGTCGACCCCAACCCAACAATCCACTAAATCTTCACCTCACAAATGTCCCTCCACTTGATACCATGTACCCCCCTTGGAATGCCCAACGCATCTGCCGTCCAGGCTGCTAAACTCATTTCCGTCACCCACGCCAATCCAGTCTTGACCCAACTCTCTTTTCTTCCCCAAACCATCGCTTCTCCCACCGTCGCAAAGCCATTCAGCACAAAAAATGTTCCGATGCGGAAAAGTGCTTTATCTGTTAACATAGGAGCTAAAGCATATACATGAAAAGCGGCCATTAGTGAAAAAGCAGCTAAGATGCCCATCGATCGAGCAATTGGGATCGAAACACCTAGTTTTGGGAGAGTCTGACGAATGGGATCATAGGCGAGAGAGGCACAGGGGGCGGAAAATACATTGTGCCATGTTTTCGACCTGGGGTTATTAGTTTTATGTTCCTACTTCAAAGTTTCCAAATTTGGAAATTGGATGACATACCAGAAATCCCCTAAACTTTCTACAGCATACAATCTTCCAAAAAGGGCAGGGCTACCTTTGTACCTTACTAATAACTGAATGGCTGTCCAGATAATGTAAATACTTAATTGAACTTCAAACGCCAGAACCAATGCCCAATCCTGTGGTAACGCTTGCAAAGCACAGAAAATGGCACCGTGGATTGCGAATTGCAACGGTTCATTGAAAGTTTCCTGAGATCGAGGAACACGAACGAAATTTGGAGTAAAGGATTCATAGCGCATTTCCGTCAGGAGAAGAAGTGCGTGTTTCCATGTTGGCGGATCGTTCCTGAGTTGAGGAAGTGAGCGGTGTCGAGCATATATATCCAAGAGTCTGAGGGTCGCAATTGCAACTAGACGAAATCAGCACATTGTAGTTTTGTTGGGTTTCTCACGATTTTGTGAAGATGGGAGATACGAACCAGCGAAATTCCTCAGCGCAGCTACTGGGCCACAAGAAATCGGATTCATCCAACTACTCAACCAAAATGTAACTAAAGATACCGCCGATAATTTCTTGTACTTCCCATATTGCCCCTTGAGCAAGAAATAAATGGAGAAATAGAGAATCTCGGTGGGTATGAGAAAGAAAGCAGTAGCTCTAATGGTCTCGTGACTCCATTTTTCGAATGCTGGAGAAATGGTGGTTGGAAGTGGGAAATTGAGAGAGGATGTTGCGTTCATTTTGTTCCTTATTCGAGTAGAATTTGGAATGATTTATATAGTCCCTTTACAGGGACAGTTATATAGATTGTAGAAGTAAGTTTGATATATAATTGAGTTGAGATAAAATACTGATGTCTCGTGATCTTTTTTTTGGGGTGTATGTCAAAGTTAAGCAAGGTTCGAGAGATATGTATTCGAAGTCTCAGCCAATCTGCAGAGAAAGTTTGTTGAATATGTGAGACGATATAGTAGATATGATAGAAGTAGTATGGTATAATGATATCTTGATAGCTTTGAAGAACTACCAATGAATGAAAAATCATATATAATCAATCCTGTACTGGTAGTTGCAATGAAGTTTATTTACTCCAATTTCAGCTCAATCGACGCCCAAAGAAATCGGAATGTTCGGATGGGGACTTTCAAGGTTATGGAAGCGGAGATATCTCCGTGCAACACAACGGAAGGAAGGAAGGAGAGCGAGGATGGGAGTGGAAGCCGAATTGAAGGACGGGTATGTAATTGATATGATGTGATATGATGTATGGATGTATGTATTTGTATATGTATGTATGTATACTTATGATTAAGAGAAGATATTTCACTTACTCTCAAATGATTAGATAATGTTCTCCCCTCCCACCTACGTATCTGTGTACCGGCATTAGTCCGATGAAGAATTCGATGATAGTACGATATCCCGTCAGAATCAATAAAAATGATTGGCTCAGAGAGTCAGAGGAGATCCCAATAGAGAAGGAAAAGAAAAGAGGTTGGGATCAAAAGCTACATGGCACGCCTAGTTACATACTTTACATACCATACCTATGCCAGTCTGCCTTCCGTTTAAGCGTCTTATATCCGATCCGATAAAGTCATCGCGATCTACATTGCACAGATCCATTGATCCATTGATCCATTGATTTATTGATTACTCATCTGAACTAGTTACATATCATATCAACCTACCCATCCATCTACCTAGGTACTTTTACTATTACTTGATCATCATGATTACAACTTCAAAGTTGAGTTCTTCTCTATTCCTATCATCTCAAATGTGAGGTGAGCACCACGTATAATTTAATTTTACATACAACACCTCATTCTTTCTTCATCATCCACTGACCCCTCCTTCCTCCCTTGTGCAATTCCAATCCTCCCATATCAAATCAGTGAAACCGAAGCTGTGCCATGATAACATCCGCTATAAAACTCCATCTCATGCATAAAATGCCATTGCTACCTTGAAATAAAATAAAATAAACTAAAACTTTCTTTCCATTTCACTGCAACGCCGTCCTTTTCCTCATATAGAAATTGAATCCTGTTCTAGTAAAACACGCGCTTATGAATATTTGGTAAATCAATAAATTACAAAGTAGTTTGTTTACTTTTCATTGGAATCGTCCCAAAGTGAACAAACTCCTCACCTTCGTCTATGGCGATCTCGATGGTCTTTGCCCCTCTTGCCCTTCTTCTTATCCTTTGGCAACTCTATGGGCGCATTTGCTAGTTGAACAGACATGAATTTCAGCATGTATTCATCCACTGCTTTCACGGGCTGGCTCCAAGCATTGAGTTCGTCTTCATCAATCTCCATGAGGTCCTCAACGGTGGGTGCTCCATCGGCACCAGGAGTTGGGCCACCTTCTGCAGGAGTTCCCGTGCCACCGGGAGTAGCAGATGCTGTAGCTGCGTTCTCATCGAAATCAGCTGCGTCGGTCTGAACAATTTCTCGTTCGGCGACTCTAGCTGCAGCGACATCCTCGCGATCTTCGGCTTGAGCGAAAACACGTCGAACATCTTTGTCATTATCAGGGCCACCCAATACTCGATCCATGGCTGCATTAGCTGCTGCATCACCATCCATAAGACTAGATTCTTCCTCTCCAATGACATCTCGTACATTCATCTTGTTGAAGTAATCCGTGGTAAACTCTCCTTCTTGGATAACGACATCGTCAAGCATACGCTTTTGATTTGCTTTGCGTAAAATGTTGGCTTCGATAGTATGTTCTGAGACTAGACGATAAATGTGAACATCGCGTGTCTGTCCAATACGATGGCAACGATCTTGACATTGCTTGTCCATGGCTGGATTCCAATCCAAATCATAGAAGATAACAGTATCCGCACCCGTTAAATTGATGCCTAGACCGCCCGAGCGACTGGATAAAATGAAAGCAAGAATCCGAGTATCGTTATTGAAGCGATCCGTAAGAATTTGTCGTTGCTCAATCTTGGTAGCTCCATCAAGTCGTAGGTATTTGTGTCCGTGAATATTGAGAAATTGCTCAAGAATATCAAGCACCTTTGTCATTTGAGTGAATATTAGTGCTCTGTGCCCGCCGGCCTGCAGTTTGCGCAATAACTTGTCCAGAGTTTGTAATTTACCGCAATCATATTGCAAAAGACGCTTATCCGGAAATTGAATGGATAGTCTCATGCGTGCCTCATGAAATGGATCTGTTTCTCGAGTGGCGACGGTGCTTTGAAAGTTACTTACACCTTTGGGTGTGAACATAACTGAGTTCATGTCTCGCGCCACTACCGGTGGAGTTACACAAGCAAATTTTTGTATGGTTGTATGTAGGTCTTGAGAACGTGAGGTAAACGTCGGAACCATTGAACGCATAATCGGCGAAGACTCCTCCAACCATTCTATCAACTTGGTTCGTCGCCTAGGCTTCGCTTGTAGTGGACGCTGATCAAGACGAAGATCTAGACGTGCAATGAGGGAACTACCATAGATAGGTTTCTGTTGTCGCCGGAGTGCATTGAGATATACGCAATGCTGAAGCTCTTCGAATCGTCCCCACCTGGAAGCACTTTCCAAATACACCAGATTTGATTTGACTGTTGAAGGGTCGAGGTTGGTAAATGCATTCTGGGCTCTTGCACGCTGAGCCTCCCTCATCACTTCCAGGGCACGTCGGGCACTGAGTCTGTTGATTTCGGAGGCCAAGATGCCAGGCAAGTATTCATGCTTCACGGGCACGAGATTCAAGAAATCCAAGCTAACTCTAGACATAGGTTCTTGGCGGAACATTTTTCTGCGAACTAAAAGGTCCTTGATCTCAAAGTCGGTGATTGCAGACTTTTCCATTGGAAAAGAAGTCATAATAGGTCGATCTAGGAAGAGATCTGGATGATTACAAACCTTTCGCAGTTGCATCAGGCAATTGATGATGGAAAGATAATTACCTGATGCAAGGGTATCTCTGGTATCATTTCGACTTAGAAAGCTATCGTAAAGCTCACGTTGCCTTTTGGACAAACGGCAGAATTCAACGTGCTCGTACTTTCCGGGCATTTGTTTTTCGACATCTGCTTTCAATCGCCTGAGAAGGTAAGGTCTAAGAACCTTGTGCAGTTTGCTAATGATTGCCTTCGATTCATCATCCATTTGCTCCCTGCCATGCTCCAAGATTTGCTCTGTTGGCTTCTTAAACCAGTCCTGGAATTCTTTCAAATTTGCAAAACCACCAACACCTTGCTCGCTTCCATCCGAGGGCATCAAGAAGTAGAGTAAGGACCACAATTCCGTCAAGTTATTTTGCAAAGGAGTACCGGTCAGTAACAGCCGCGCTCGAGTGTTGAAATTCAACATAGTTTGCCATCTTTGAGATTGGAAATTCTTGATGTTGTGAGCTTCATCAAGAATCATGTAGTGCCATTGTCGTCGCTTGAACACTTGCTGATCCTGAATGACAAGCTGGTATGATGTAATGCATACATTCCAAGCATCATCATCCTTCCAGCCAGCACGTTTGCGTTTTCTCTCTTCTTGATTCCCATAGTAGGTTAGGATTTTGAAACCTGGACACCATTTCTTGAATTCCATTTCCCAGTTGAGCATAACACTTGTGGGTACAATGACAAGATGCGGGCCCCAGACTTGGTGTTCGCACGCCAAATGAGCTAATAAGGCTATGGTCTGGATTGTTTTCCCCAATCCCATCTCATCCGCTAGGATACCGTTTGTGTTGTTCGCATAAAGACCGGCAAGCCAATCCAAACCATAGTGTTGGTATTCTCTAAGGGTACCACGCAGGAGAAAAGGAACCGGAGTCTTCAGTCCGTTTGCAGGTTGAGGAGTTGCGCTTTGTGTATTGCGGCGACTACTCTGGTGAAGATCCACAGATGATGCCGAATCCACCTCTGAAGGCTTAGTCTCGGTTGTTCTAGGAGTGGGCTGGCTGCTTCGATCGGGACTCATCGCTGAAACCTCTTGTGGCTGATGTGCAGATAACAATTCATTTACCTTGCTAGATGAATCATGATGCTCACTTGTGGACAGTTCTTCGATCAGAGATGATTTTTTGGATGTTCCATTCATTAAAGGCGGTACAGATTCTCCATTGGGTATGGAGGGGACTTCACTATCCTCGGTATCTAAATCCATTGCGTCTTCTGGTACGACTGGAGTTGAACCTTCGTCCATAGCTTCCACTACTTCTGCAACGGGCCCCAACTTAGCTTGCCTCGTTTCAAGATCTTTGATATCGGAAGGCAAAAGAAATCCAAGAAGATCAGCACGGCTCCCTTCATCCACGTCATTGTCCTCTTCCTCATCACTATCATCCTCTTCGTCGCTGGAATCCGTGTCGTCGTCCATGTCTATAGAAGGATCGCTTTCCATGTCTTCATCTTCGCTGCCGTTTCCAGCCATTTCTTTGTCATCGCTGGCTGGCACAATATCTGGTAGGGCGGCGTATTTTTCGCGCAATTCATCGACAGTAAGTTGCTCATCCTCGTGTTTGGTATTCCCTTCGTCGGCCTCCGACTCCGAAGAGGACATATTATCTTCGTCGTCACTAGGGTCAGAATCTAGATTGTCATCATTATCGGAATCATCATTTGCATCCCCGTCTTCATTATCTTCTTCTTCAGTGTCTTCATCCGAATCCTGTTGCGCTCTACGAGCCTGAAGCTTTTGCGTAGAAATATCCACAGCCTCGTTGAGGGCTTTCCGTACCCGAGCTTGTTCCTGTGCCTCCCATTCAACTAGGCGCCGCCGATTGACCTCTGCTTTAACATTTTCCCAGGTACCCAAAAGACTCTTGAGGACGCTTTTATAACGCACTTCAGACGCCCTTCTTTCCTCTGCCTCCAGTTGTTCATGAGATTTTGGTTGTCGTCGGGTCCATTCATCTCTGCATGCCTCAGCCAGTTGTTTCGCGAGCCTCAAATGCTCTTTTTGTTCCCTGATCATGAGCATCCTGAAGTGTAGGGCAGCTCTTACAAGATGATCTTGGTGGGCATACTGCGGTGGCATGGGGTCTTGTTTCTCAGGACGATTTAATGAAGTCCCCAAAACACCACGTTCCACCGCATCCTCAAGCTGTATAATTGTATGGGCTTCTTTCTTGGCATCTTCCTCGGTGAAAATCACCGCATCTTCGGCGCTATACAAGCCACCTGCTTCTACTGGTATATTTTGACCCTGCTCCCAGAACTCATCGAAAGACCCAAATTTTGACGGTACCGGAAGCGACCTTGGATGTACCACAGGGACGGCCGCTGGCTTGACTCGAAGTCTAATTTTTGTTGGTGTGGATTTTGGGGTTTGATCTGCCATACTCTCTGCTTCTATTGCTGGCGATGAATTCGTAAGGTCATTCTGAATTACTTCAGAAGCTCGACCTGATCGGCGCAACCTCGAATTTGAAGGCGTTGACTGTGGTTCTTTAGAAATGGTAGATTTTTTGCTGCTGGATCGTATTTGTGTCGAATTCTGCTCCGAAGGTATGGACTTTCGATGCGAGCGCTTTGGCGATGTTGATAGTTTGACTGGGCATTTCAATACATTTTGGCTGGTGGACTTTTTGGAAGCTTGAGAGGTTCCGGGTGTGGATGTATCTCGATTTAGAGAGGAGTGAATACCATTCCCATTTCCATGTTTACTTTTCGAGGTGACAGCCTTTTGCGCCGCACCCCGCGTTGTCCTCTTCTCGGACGGAGGTTGTAGCTCCAATGGTATCTGATTCACACGGCCTGATTTGCGTTTTCCATCGACAGTAAAAGAAGTTGGACCTTCTGCTAAGACTTTTTTCCAGGGAGGCGATTCGGGTTTGCGCTTCTGTATAGTCTTTGTCTCGCTACTGAGTCGCCGCCTCTTGCTCGGTGGTGCTTCTCCATCTCCATTTTCAATCGCATGTCCATTCGCTTTCGGGGTTTGTAGCACATCTTCAATTGGAGGTATATCTGATATCAAAAATGTTAATTTTAAGTTGTTGAGAAGATTTTCAATTATTGCCCTTACCAAAGATTTTTTCACTCTCGGGAGCTTCTGACGCGGTTGTCATACTTTTTACGAGAGGGGAGGCTAGACACTACCTTGAACTTCATGAACTTTTCATTTGAAATCGTAAAACTACTTCGTAAGGTTCCGTACATCATAAGGATCCTTCATATAAAATTTGAGCATACCCAGATGCTTTTATCGTTCGCTGTACAAAAATTACGTGCTGAAGAAGGAAGTACGAAGAAACTACACCTTCTTCGCGTCGAGATTCCGTCCAACTGCCACTAGTTTAACGTTTAACCGAACGAGTAACATCCCGTCGACCTCTGATTACAAGTGACAGAAGACGACCTCCAAGAACAATTGCGATCAACTGCGGAGGCTCATTCAAGGTACGCCATATACATGTTACCCTAATTATATTAACCCCGACTTATTGATTAATAACTCCCAGATGTTTTCCCGACGAATTGCGGCAGCGCGACCACTGCGAGCTTCCATCATCCCACGTCAAACAACCCTCATATCACAAAGATGTGCCAGCCAGGCAGCTGCCCACAGCGGCCCAGTTCTACCATTGGTCAGTCTGCTTGATCGCAGCTGTTTGTTTCGGGGGAAGCATAGACTGACAAAGTAGGCTGAAGACCGATATTGAAGATCCTAACATGGTTAGTGCAGTCCGACTTCGATTTCTGAAATGGAGACTAACACAGCATAAAGAACGGAGGATATATCAACCCACCCAGAATCAAGCGTCAATTCCGTGACCCTAATGCCGACTGGTGGGATAAGCAAGAGCGAAGAAATTACGGAGAGCCAGTTCATGAGGATAATGACATCTTGGGCATATTTTCACCAGAAGAATACACACATCAAAAGGTTGGAACGGCTGGATTTCAATTTGGCCTTTTTATTTTATCTGTGTTGGGACTTTGCACAGTCGTGGGCATGATGTACCCAGATAAGCAATCCGCTCCAAGAGAATTTGAGGGTGGACTTGAGAGAGAGTTGGGTGGCCCAACTGCAGTTAGGGTGAGTTACGATATTTGCGAGTCCCACAAGTTGCTTTTTACTGACACGAAGAACAGGCAAGAGCTGCTGGCGATCCATTGTAAAGGAAGGCGGCTATGTACATATGAATATCAATTTGAGCAAGTTCTGAGGGACATTCATTGTGAAGCAATATATGTTTTCAACCTTCATCAACTCCAAGCCCTTTTCTCATAGTAGTTACGATCATGGCAAATTGTGCCTTTCTTAAAGTATTTTGAGATAGTGTAGTGAATTTTCCTCTCGGGTAAGGGCGTGGGATGTTATATCCAGCTTGATGAAATCTGGTGGACATATCAAACAGGGGGATAAGAATCACTGGTATTTAGGTCGTTAGGTCGTTCCTTCCTCCTCAATCAATCAAACGCGATGTTCTTACCAAATCATCTTTTCTCTAGCCAGATTCCTTACTTGGATAAAGCTTGCGTGATTTTTGCTCTATCCTCAGATCTAAGAACTTATTACTGCTGCCCTTCTTTCTCTTTCTTTCAAAATTTGCTTCAATACTTGCTTGTGGTTATGCCATAACCTATCAGCTTATATTTGATTCTTAGTGATTAAAATCCATTCAAAATGCGTTATCAGAATTGGGATGTTCTCATGTTTCCACATGAATTATGCAAGATCCCAATGCAAGAGTTTAAAACTTCCTGTCAAGTTGTTCAGGACCACGGTAAGTACTTGCTTCCAAACTGGAGGCCAATGTCTTCCAGACTGATGCAATCGCAGAAGTCCATTATTCTCAGAGCACTGCTCTACTAATGCCTACGGTTACCTGTTTCATTCCAAGCTTGGCTGCTGGAGAGCCCTTCCGAATCTCTATCCATTCTTGGCAAAATCCCGAAGCCAGCCGTTATGTACAACACATCAGCAATAGAAATGCGGAACATGTTATGTTTGAAGCTCGTGTATTTGTGGATGGACAGATCGCTGGGTAGGCCTCAACCGTTTATCATAGGCAAGTAGATGTATTGACTAGTCTTAAGTACCAAGCTCTTTCATCGAAACGGCCCCTGGCCAACAGTTCTCGAAACTAGTGTTGGTAATAAAATCATTCTTCTTTCTCACCCGTACCTAGTACAAGCATACTGGAATGATCGAGAGCCAGCATCATCTAACAACCTATAGAGCTCGATAAACAGGGAGATTGCAAAAAACTCGAGTTTCCTGCCTTCCATCGAGAACTTCTATCGCAAAGTTATTGGAACCCGGGAGACGACCTCGGGCGTGTAAAGGTAGTGGTATCGGAAGGTATTCCAAGAGATAATATTTCTATGCCATACGAGCGTATCAAGAACTTAGTAGCTTTCTCGTTTCAACATGCTCCATTAGGTATATCCATTAATTGTCATTTCGATCATGACAGATTATCAACCTAACAACTCTTAGACGTCTTGGAAGCTTCTTCAATCGCATGGCCAAATGCGACCATGTGGCGTCAGGTATCTCTTGTTGCACCTATCTACAATCAGCATCCATCGCCAAAAAGGGTTGAAGAGGATCACGAGGCTCATGCCCATTCTCCACGGAAGTCACAAAACATTGGTTTCTTGTCTTCGCAGTCCAACTGTATGCCACCACCAGCGGCACCATTCTCAAAACCTCCAAGTTTCGACCCATTCACTTCTGACTCAGCACGTCCTGCCTTTGCAGGCTGGCGTCGTCAAGGAGTCTCAACCGATACTTCTATGCCAGATCTTTCAAGTGATTCTAGTGGACAGGCAGGTAGTATTCGAAATGTATCAGATCCTATGATAATCGAGAAGGCATCTCGAAATAATGACATGCAGAGTATCGGCGCATACGAATCTCTCTGTGAAGCATTATTGCCACCTGTACCTGTTAACACACCACAGAATGAATCTGAAATGACGTCGGCAAACACAGTTTCACTTCGACAGTCATCTTTGCAAAGGGGATCTAGCAGAGTCGGCCCCGGCGATCGTGTACCAATACCACGCGCAATCGGTGCACTGGATGCACCCGAAGGACTAGTATCTCAAATTGAAGAGGCTCGACTCCGTGACTCCAGAAGAATGAGCTCTTCTTCGATGAGTTGCGCCAACAAGGAAAATGAAAGTCGAAGTCCAGCAGCCCCATCGGAAATCACTGGCCCTAACAATCAGCGAACTGCAAGCGATGGCTCATCTAGAAGAACGTCTAATCTTTTTACATCCACCAATGTAATTGGCACTAAAAGACAAAGGAACGTTACTCCCGCATCTTCAAAGGCGATTGATGATGAGGATGAGCCAAGATCCTCTCCCTCGTTGAGAAAGGTCTCGAGGCAATCGAATGCCAGTGGGAATGGGAGGGGAAAGGATATTGAAAGAAGAGTTTTGAGTGCCGTTGATAATGCTTAAGGCCATCAACGAACCATGGAGAGGACGTGGGGATGATGTGTAGCCCAAAGTTCGAGTTTATATCATGTTTGAGGGAGGACCCCAAGAGACTTGGGCACTGGTGGACTGAGTATTGCTTAGCATTCATTTGTTTTTGTTTTTTCCAATCATGGCGTGAGGTTCTGATGCGTTGATTTCTTGTCATACAATTATTGCTATCATTGTTAATATCGTCGTTGTTTTCTTTGCCTGATTGTTATTATTTTCTTTTCAGCGGAGATTCGAACTTGTTTATTCAGTTGATTCGATTAGTTGAGTGAAAGTAGGAATGGCAGTATACCCGGCAATAATCAATAATTTTTCAATATTATTGGCAAGTTCTTAGAGTGATATGTGATTGTTATGTTATATTCTATATACTAAGTCAACTACCCCACTTTCCGACCACCCCCTCTTTTCGACCACCTCAAAAACCACATCGCTTTAAGTAATTATAAAATTTATACTTTGAATAACTCAATAATACTTTAATCAATTAATTTGAAATTTTGATATTATTATAATTATAATATAAAGAATAAATATATTAAAAAAGATATTACAAAGATTTTTAGAGTAATTATAAATAAAGTAAGTATATAAAAAGCTAGCTTGGATTATAGTATTTTATATATTACATTTTATAATTAAATATATAATAAAATTTCATATTAAAAAGATATTTAAATACTTCAAAAATTATTTTCAATTCAGAAGAATCGATTAGTAGAATAAATATTAATATAAAAAGCTCTTGATATTAGTTTTATATATTATTAAATCAAAGAGATAACAGAATATCTTTTTATTATATAAAGAGAGAATCCCTTATTTAAAAAGAAATAAATATATAGCTTTTTTCGAAGATATTTTAATATTAAAATTAAAAAGTAATATCAAATCAATTCTATACAAGTTTTAAGTATTATATCTAATATTATTAAGAAATGATTTTAGAATCTCATAATCCCTGAAATTAAAACTATTAAATTAACCAATAAATAAAATATGAATAAAATAAATATAATAAAGAATTAGGATTTTAATAGATTAATAGTAAAAAGTATTAATCAAAGATTTATTCAAAAAAAGTAATCTAAATCTCGAATTTGGATCTCTTTTATAAAATGCATTTTAATTAATAAAAAAAGTATTACTTTCCTTATAATATATAAAGGAAAATCAATTCAATAATAATAATTTCCAATTAATTTAACTCTATTTAAGGATTAGAACTTTATTGTTATAAAAAATAAATAAATTATAAATACTATAGTTTTAGAATAATTGAAAAAGATTTATATTCCTTAAACTATTTTTATTTAATTAGAAAATTCAAAACTTCTTATTTTGGATAAATATAAAAGCTATAAAACTATAATATTTATATTAGAATACTTTAATAATAATATATATCTCTTATTTCTTTTATTATATATATTATATATATTATAATCATTTGATTTATCTGTATTCTTATTTCTAAAAAGTATATATCAAATTGAATTTAATAAATTAAGTTTATTATCTGATTTCTTATTAATTAAAAAATATAATTTTCTTTTTTGCTATTAAAAGGTTAGAATAAAAGATTTAATTATTCAAAATATCAAGTTTAAATAGCAAATTAATAATCTTTGGCTCAAAAATATAACTAAATCTCTTATAAATTGACTTTTACTTGAAAATAATAATAAAAAGATTTTATTATTTAATCCTAAATCTAATAATAATTTTATTTTTTAATAAAATATATATTCATTATTTATTTAATAAAAAACCCCTTAAAAAAAGTTGATATTAGAAAATATAGAAATATAATAATTCAAGAAAAAAAAATCGATTTATTAATATAAAGATTATTATTTTGTAAAATTATAAAAGAATTTGATATTAAGAATTATAAATTTTTAGAGATAAAGAATAAAATTAGAAAGTTAAAATATCAATTAAATAAAGTATTATTTAGAAAAAGGTAAAAGATTATAATATCTTTAAATTCAAAATTTATAAAGATTAGAATTATAAAGTATATATAAATTGAAATAGAAGATTATAAAATTAAAGGAAATAATAGTTTTAATATTATAGAAAGTGATTTTATAGGTGATTTTATTAAAGTTCAATAATTATTGAGTTATTAAAGTTTTAAGTATAGATAACATGATTTTTTTAGGTGGTCGGAAACAGGGGGTGGTCGGAAAGTGGGGTAGTTGACTTATAAGGATAAAAGTGAGGGTATATGTGGCTTGTTGTGTATTATGAAGAAAAATGGTAGTAGATGAGGATGTGTATACTTCATGTGTGGAAATCATTGGTAGAGGTGGGATTATGGGTACTCGCTATGTGAAGGATGAAAGGAACATGACGTGAGGGAATTGTACGGGAATTGAACATTGAAAAGGGCATGGAAGAGGATATGAGAGGACATATGAGGAGGAGATTGCAGAAGGAGAGGAAGGAATATTTTAAGAAGGGGAAGTGGGTGAGGGAAATGGATTGGAGATTGGAGGTTAGAAAGGAGAAGTTGAGGATTTACCTTGGACGGCAGTGGGATTTGAGCGTGGTTGAAAGACGAAAAGAAAAGTGCTCGGGAAAATTTGACAGAAAGTTGAGTTGAGATGAGATAGGATAGGATAGGATAGGATGATATGGTGGAACCCAAGAAAGAATACGTCTCCTTGCAATATCTCGGTCACAGCTTCAAGCACCTAGTATACAATGTGTGTGTGTGATGTCAAGTGGGTATTCATAATCATATCTTACCCATCTTATCGCAACCCATCTAATCCTTATGATGGTCGAAAGTGAGGAGATCAGGAGGTGTAGTGCTTATATGTGTTCATGATACTTAAAGACCTTCATTTCACTTCGCCGTAGGCTGGCACGTCTCGTTGGCCAAAGGAAATCAAATCTAGTTAGACGAGCGTACGTACACCTGGTTCGGTGGAGGGTGATGGGTTAATATTCTGAAGAAGTACCTTCATGTGGCATGCATCAGGATAATAGCCATCTCAATATCATATGTTATACTATACGCATTCCAGAAACAATAGAATCCGGGCTCCTACTCATCTCTCGTCAAACTCAGACCCAACATCACAACTTACATTCCACAGCTCACAATTGCATTAAACCATAAATTTGTATTGTTGTGTTGTATTGTACTGCATCTATAATACACACTTTCTCTTCCCTCTCTGCTCCTCCTCAAGCAACCACTTTCCAAAACCCTATCCCGAACCCCAACCATTCCATTTACTCCCCAAAACATGATTGCACCTCCTATCCCCACTGATTATTCATGAATAACAATACGAATGTTCTTCGAATCAGCTCAGTTTCTTTCACCTCCCTCTCCACTTCTCCGGGTTTCGGTCGATCCATCCTGTGCATCCCAGTCTAATGTTTACTCCGAGCGTATGGTGTGGTATCGTGTTGTATCGCGACTTTGTCCACAGAACCAGAGGATAAGCATTGCTGATTTTGCTCTCCCGTAAAAAGTATGTGTGATTTGTATGTGTTCGTCGAATTGAGGATACCAAATGAGGAACGAAAGAATTTGAATTCAAAAAAGAAATTAAACGCCTGTCGCTGATGATGATAAATGATGAAAGTGATGCCAAAGCCAGTTCCAAATGCAGTGTCATCATAGAAGCCAAAAAGAAAAATCACAAATGCCAAGCCATGCCAATAATGCCATGATGGAGCCTACCCCCCATTGCCAAAAACGAAAGCAAGTGCCCAAACCGAGTAATAAAAAAAGGAGGTTCTGAGATAAAGCTCCCGGAATGTTCGATGAATTAGATTGAACCAGAAACCCCAAACCGAAAAGTACGCCGTTGTAATGCCTCCTCATCTTCGTCCCCTGAGTCGCTTGGTCGTCGTCGTTGCAGCAGATATTTGATGCCGGTGTTGATGTACAGCCAGCTGTGTTATTTAAGATGGGACGTATGTGTTTGTGTGGAGACCAGGAAATGAGTGGATAATGTCGTAAAGTAGTAAGGTGGAAGTGATCTTTCTTGTGATCTCTTTGCAAGCTCTTTGCAATGATCATTATGGAGAAAAATCATGAGTCGTAAATGAAAGCGGGATGTGTGTGATCGTGTGTAGTTGAGGGGTATCAATATTTGGTTCGCCTTTTTCCTGGTCCCGCGCATCATGTCATACCTCTCGGTCCTCTTTGGTATGTTTGTTCTTTTTTCGACTTGACCAGCCTTGATGCCGCGATGCTTTCCTTTTCCGACATGCCTCCTCTATTTCCTTGGTTTCCACGGCTAGTGGCTATTTCTTTCTGCCCCCAGCACCAGTAGATGTAATCTTAGACGTGGACATTAAGTCTCCGATGTACTTCTGTAAGAATTTGTTGTTGTTATCAAGTTTATCGTGCTCCTCTTTGACAGCTTCGATTCGATTAAATATTTCGAGGAGAGATTGTTGAAGAAGTTTAGCGTGTCTTTATGGTAGGTACCGAGTTAGTATTGTTTGATGTTCCTTATGGACTGTGGTATTCACGGGTGAGAAGGGAGGATAACATACTCGTTGAGTTGCGCTCTGGCATCTTGACTCATCTTCTCCAAATCCTCACTGTTCCTCCTTGGACTCATTGCTCTTGCATCATCCTCGTCGAAAACCTCGTCCCCTTCTTTTAATTCCACGCGCGGGTGTTCGCGCGGTACTATTATGGTACCGCTAGACTTTCTAGTACCAAGCTTTGGCCTCTTGATCGAAGGTGTACGACTAGCAGAGGTGTTTGCTGGCGTGCTTCCTCCATTTGCATCGGACGAAGATGTGCTTGATGAATCGTTTGTTAATGGAGAGTCGGCCAGTGATGGATTGGCGGTACTGGGTTCCAAGGAGGACGTTGGTGGGATGGCGGGAACCGTTGCTTCAGTTGGTGAAGCCATGATTAAAGGGAGTCGTGAGGTGTGAGCTGGATGCTCGACTAGGCTGAAATGTACAGCTTTAAACAGAACGTCAAG